CCAACTACAGCAGCTGCAGCAGCAGACACATGCCTCTCTGACCCGCTGGTGCCCTCACGCCACGAGCCTTTCACTCGCAGCAGAAAGCCACCGGCGCTGTGAGACGAGAGAGGAAGCGCCTTTTGGCGTCCTCTGGTCTGACACCGTTTTGAGACGAGGCTCAAAAGAAAGATGTCTCTGGTGTGGGCCAATCAGTTTCAAGGACAATGCCACAGATATTATCAGTGTGTTTTTTTTGCATTTTGACCACAAGTATTGTGGTCAATGCAGACATGATTTCTTGTCAAAAGTTTCAGATTGGTTGTTTTAACATCTTAACACCTGTTTTGTTGCCAGAAAAAAAGGGGAAAACCTATTCTCGGAAAATGAAAAGTCACGTTTTGTGGTGGCGGGAGTATTCGTGTGCTGGCTGGATAGTTAGTTAGGGTTAAGAGTAGAGTTAGTACTTGGGGCTGGTTGGTTAGGGGTTATAGGTAGAACTAGTACTAGTGGCGTGTTGGCAAGTTAGTTAGTGGTTAGAGGTAGAGTTAGTACTAGTGACTAGTTAGTTAGTGGTTATAGTAGAATTAGTACTCGTAGATGGTGGTCTCTCAAGGACAACCACCGTGACATTTCTACAAAGAAAGTGCTGTATTTGTTGTATCCACCCTTGGGCGATGATGGACTAAGCTGGCCTGGATGCAGCAGCAAATACTTTTTGAATGCTGCGTCCGTAGTGATGCACAACCACGAAAGCACAGGTCGTCAACACATTCGTCAAATATATAATTGGCGACGTTTCAGGCAATGCCCCTTCGTCAGAGCACAAGGGCCACAAGGGACGATTGAGGTTGTACAGCGCTGGCATTCCATGCTGCTCCACGTATCTGCGCTCCCAATGTCTTCACCAACCCCGCACGGACAAACGCGGTGGTGAGGTATGGTGAAGCGAGGGATCAAATGACCCCCACGATCGCACGGCGTGGCGAAGGCCCTCATCCAGCAGTAGATCGGCGATGCAATGTTCACAGGGCAGCATCGAGCCGTCGTCATCCAACGGCACAGCGAGAGAATAAAATCATCGGCCGACCGACAAAATCACCCGAGCAGAGGATCTGCCCGTTTCTGGAAGAAAGTGTGGGTGAATTTTGACTTGAAGCTTTCGTTCTAGAGTTGAAACTTTCGTAACTGCAAGGATTCATACTCTTCGGTTTTTTCGGTAAAGTCACGTAGGTGAAAAAAATATAAATTATATCAGTTAAATTACGACGTTTCGGAGGCAACACAAGTCTCCGTCTTCAGGTGGGACCGTCACAGCTAAATTTATTACTATTTCATTTTATTATTTTTCTACCTACGTGACTTTACCGAAAAAACCTAAGAGTATGAATCCTTGCAGTCATGAAAGTTTCAAATCTAGAATTACCCTTGATACAGTAAATTTAGCTGTGACGGTCCCACCTGAAGACGGGGACTTGTGTTGCCTCCGAAACGTCGTGATTTAATTGATTTATTTTCATTTATTAGTATTTTATTTTATTATTTTTTACCTACTGACTTTACCGAAAAAACCTAAGGGTTTGAAGCTTTCGTGACTGCAGGCATTCATATTCCTTGGGTCTTTCGGCAAAGTCACGTAGATAGGTTCAAAGAAAATAACAAAAAATAAAAAAATCTACGACGTTTCGCTCGCAACACAAGAATATAAAAAAGTGTCGGTGCAGCGCCGCTTTGTGGACGAGTGGGAGATGGTCACCACTCGTGTTTTTTACGATTATAACACTCAGTATGAATGCATCAAATCATGCGTGGGAAGCACACGTAATAGTTGATTAATGATACATTTTTATGGAAGTTTTTATTTATTTTTTAAAAACTTGTCATTCAGAAAACATTTTTAGAAATTATGGAATAATCGATTCATACAAATATTAAACCTTGACTTCAAGCTTTCGTGACTGCAGGAATCCATATTATTTGGGTCTTTCGGTAAAGTCACGTAGATAGGTTCAAAGAAAATAACAAAACAACAAAAAACTACGACGTTTCGATCGCAACACAAGCGGTCGTCATCGTCACTATTGATGGATGCAAATAATATTTTAAAAAACCGATTAATCAAACAAATGATCTATAATCTACTCATCACCATTCAACGATATACGAAATTATAGTATTCACTAACAACAAACTAATCTACTCATCACCATTCATCAATACAAATAATCGAATCAATAATCACTTTTTTGTGCAATTTTTTTATTTATATCTTTATTCATTTTTTATTTTGCTTTCGAGTATGCTTGTTCGTAGCTGTATATAGGATTTGGTCCTCATATATAATTAATGGGGTGCCACGGTGGCTAGGAGACGTTAACTACCTCGCCTGCTATATAGTAGTGTGTGGGTTCGATCCCAATCCCGACCCTGACGCCTGCTGTAAATGTGGAGTTTAGATGTCTCTCTCCCCGTGGTCCCGTGGATTTTGCTCCGTGCCCTCTGGTTCCCCCCCCCGCTACACATTTTAGAATCAACATCACGCGTTCCGGAGTATTTGGCTGCTATACATTACCGAGTGATGATAAGCCACTTCATGTTGGGCTATCATTTGTGGCCAGGTCGCTTCTGAAACAAGAGTTGTGTAACTCAACGAGCCTTACCTGGTAAAAAGAAAAATAGTTGATCGTTTAAAAAAATATATAATGTACCGTCGTTAGCGATCGGAGCGGCTGACAACTCTGAACTCTCCCATCAGTGGTCAAACCACGTGCGCCGCCTAGCGGCTCCCGCGTGAAGGCCCCGAGCCCACGTGCGCGTGTGATCCCCCATTGCGCGGGGACTGGGGCACTCGCCCCATGTTAAACACGTTGTCCTGCGGAGGGAGCTGGCAGGAAAGTTGGGTTGCTCAAGGGTCAACGGCGGCGTGGTGTATTCCGCAAATATGCCCGACTGTGAGGGCGGGCACAAGCCGGCGTGAGTAGGTTAAACGTTGAGTTTTATAAGGGCACTACGGGGTGACCAGCCCCACCCCACCCTCCCCACCCAGCCCCTCACCACCCTCCCCACGCAGCCACTCCCCACCCTCCCCTCTCCACCCAGCCCCACCCCTCCCATTTTTGGACGCACGACGGACGGACGGACACAATAATCCCCTGTGGGCTGGTGTAACCAGGAGGTTCCTACCAGTAACATCGACTCTGTGGTGGTGGTGGTGAGCGGTAGCTGTAGTAGCGGTTCGCGCGCTCTGCAATACGAAACCGACGACGGACCGAGATCGATTACCGCTCACGGCTCAACCATCGGTGACGATTATCTGAACCAGTTCTGGGCCTCCCCTAGGTCGACTCGGCCTCAAATGAGTACCTGGCGCGGTGTGTAGTAAACATCGCCACCGGGAGAGACAAAGGCGACAAGGGCGTGGTGGTGTTGGCACAGTTCCGGCCTTCATGGGTGCTGCTGCTACTCGCTAACAGCACTTGCCCCAACAGTCTGTTAAGGCTATACGGGGGATCTTTGTCTTTGTGTGAGTGTCACGGAGAGAGAGAGACGAGGATGGAGAAGATGGCTCAACAAAACTCTTCCTATCAGCACCTCCTCGTATAAACAATCATATCAAGCGTCGCGTCTCTGTGCAGGAGAACAATAACATTGATAGCTGACGATAAGTCGTGTTCTGTCCACTGCTGGATGGAGGCCTCCCCCACGTACGCCGTCGCTGGCCTGGCTATACGGGGGATCTTTGGTGGGGAGCGGGATTTTTGGTGGGAGGGGGGTCTGTGGTGGTGTGGCTGACTCTATGGTGGTGTGGTTGGCTCTGTGGTGGTGTGGTGGGAACTGTGGTGGTGTGATTGACCCTGTGTTGGTGTGGCTGACTCTGTGGTGGTGTTTGTGGTGGTGTGACTGACCCTGTGGTGGTGTGGCTGACTCTGTGGTGGTGTGGTGGGAAACTGTGGTGGTGTGGTTGACCCTGTGTTGGTGTGGCTGAATCTGTGGTGGTGTTTGTGGTGGTGTGGCTGACCCTGTGTTGGTGTGACTGGCTCTGTGGTGGTGTCTGTGGTGGTGTGGCTGACTCTGTGTTGGTGTGGCTGCCTCTGTGTTGGTGTGGCTGACTCTGTGGTGGTGTCTGTGGTGGTGTTGCTGACCCTGTGTTGGTGTGGTTGACCCTGTGTTGGTGTGGTTGACCCTGTGTTGGTGTGGCTGCCTCTGTGTTGGTGTGGCAGTCTCTGTGTTGTTGGTGTGGTTGAACTCTGTGTTGGTGTGGCTGACTCTGTGTTGATGTCTGTGTTGGTGTGGCTGCCCCTGTGTTGGTGTGGCTGCCTCTGTGTTGGTGTGGCTGACTCTGTGTTGGTGTGACTGTCTCTGTGTTGGTGTGGCTGTCTCTGTGTTGGTGTGGCTGACTCTGTGTTGGTGTGGCTGCCTCTGTGTTGGTGTGGCTGACTCTGTGTTGGTGTGACTGTCTCTGTGTTGGTGTGGCTGACTCTGTGTTGGTGTGGCTGCCTCTGTGTTGGTGTGGCTGACTCTGTGTTGGTGTGACTGTCTCTGTGTTGGTGTGGCTGTATCTGTGTTGGTGTGGCTGACTCTGTGTTGGTGTGACTGTCTCTGTGTTGGTGTGGCTGTATCTGTGTTGGTGTGGCTGACTCTGTGTTGGTGTGGCTACCTCTGTGTTGGTGTGGCTGACTCTGTGTTGGTGTGACTGTCTCTGTGTTGGTGTGGCTGTCTCTGTGTTGGTGTGGCTGCCCCTGTGTTGGTGTGGCTGACCCTGTATTGGTGTGGTTGACCCTGTGTTGGTGTGGCTGTCTCTGTGTGTTGGTGTGGTTGCCCCTGTGTTGGTGTGGCTGACCCTGTATTGGTGTGGTTGACCCTGTGTTGGTGTGGCTGACTCTGTGTGTTGGTGTGGCTGCCCCTGTGTTGGTGTGGTTGACCCTGTGTTGGTGTGGCTGTCTCTGCGTGTCTGTCCGCTTGAGGCTTCACCGGTGCCGCGTGACGTCACCGCGAGCTGAGACCGCCCCCAGAATCCAAGAGGGCGGCGGGGACGAGGCCTAGTGTGGTGATAGCCGGCCGGGCAGGCGGGCGGGCAGGCGGGCTGACTGCCACCGCTGTCTCTCTCTCTCTCTCGTTGTTAGCAAGTTGGCACGCGTTGGAGGGGGTTGTTTCATTGTTTTATTCTCAAAGCTGAAGGTTCTTAAACGATTTTAAAGTTCCCACGTCCGGGCGATGACGGGGGAGGCCGCGGAGGCGCCCACACCGACCGCGCCCGCGGACGAGTGGGTGAGTCCCGGCGGCTGCTGCTACAACAACCACCACCCTCGCCACCACCACCTTCATCACCACCACCACCCTCACCACCACCCTCACCACCACCACCCTCACCACCACCACCACCACCACCACCCTCACCACCCCCACCACCCTCACCACCACCCTCACCACCACCCTCACCACCACCCTCACCACCACCCTCACCACCACCCTCACCACCACCACCACCCTCACCACCTCCACCACCCTCACCACCCTCACCACCCCCACCACCCTCACCACCAGCCTCACCACCACCACCCTCACCACCCTCGCCACCACCACCACCCTCACCACCACCACCCTCTCCACCCTCGCCACCACCACCCTCGCCACCACCCTCACCACCACCACCACTACCCTCACCACCACCACGACCCTCACCACCACCACCCTCACCACCACCACCCTCACCACCACCACCCTCACCACCACCACCCTCACCACCACCCTCGCCACCACCCTCGCCACCACCACCCTCGCCACCACCACCCTCTCCACCCTCACCACCACCACCACCCCCACCACCACCACCACCACCACCCTCACCACCACCATCCTCTCCACCACCACCCTCACCACCACCACCACCCTCACCACCACCCTCACCACCACCACCCTCACCACCACCCTCACCACCACCACCACCCTCACCACCACCACCACCACCACCACCCTCACCACCACCACCACCCTCACCACCACCACCACCCTCACCACCACCACCACCCTCACCACCACCACCACCCTCACCACCCTCACCACCCCCACCACCCTCACCACCAGCCTCACCACCACCCTCACCACCACCACCACCACCCTCACCACCACCACCACCACCCTCACCACCACCACCACCCTCACCACCAGCCTCACCACCACCACCCTCACCACCACCACCACTACCCTCACCACCACCACCCTCACCACCACCACCACCCTCACCACCACCACCACCCTCACCACCACCACGACCCTCACCACCACCACCACCCTCACCACCACCACCCTCACCACCACCACCCTCACCACCACCACCCTCACCACCACCACCCTCACCACCACCACCCTCACCGCCACCCTCACCACCACCACCCTCACCACCACCCTCACCACCACCACCCTCTCCACCACCACCACCCTCAGCTCCACCACCACCCTCAGCACCACCCTCACCACCACCACCACCGCCACCCTCACCACCTCCACCACCCTCCCCACCCTCACCACCCCACCACCCTCACCACCCTCACCACCAGCCTCACCACCACCACCCTCACCACCCTCGCCACCCCCACCACCCTCACCACCACCACCCTCTCCACCCTCGCCACCACCACCCTCGCCACCACCCTCACCACCACCACCACCACCCTCACCACCACCACCCTCACCACCACCACCCTCACCACCACCACCCTCACCACCACCCTCACCACCACCCTCGCCACCACCCTCGCCACCACCACCCTCTCCACCCTCACCACCACCACCACCCTCACCACCACCACCACCACCACCACCCTCACCACCACCATCCTCACCACCACCACCCTCACCACCACCACCACCCTCACCGCCACCACCACCACCACCCTCACCACCCCCCTCACCACCACCACCACCACCCCCCTCACCACCACCACCACCCTCACCACCACCACCACCCTCACCACCCTCACCACCCCCACCACCCTCACCACCACCCTCACCACCACCCTCACCACCACCACCACCCTCACCACCACCACCACCCTCACCACCACCACCACCCTCACCAGCCACACCACCACCACCCTCACCACCACCACCTCTACCCTCACCACTACCACCCTCACCACTACCACCCTCACCACCACCCTCGCCACCACCACCCTCGCCACCACCACCCTCTCCACCACCACCACCACCCTCACCACCACCACCACCCTCACCACCACCACCACCCTCACCACCACCACCCTCACCACCACCACCCTCACCACCACCACCCTCACCACCACCATCCTCACCACCACCACCCTCACCACCACCACCACCCTCACCGCCACCCTCACCACCACCACCCTCACCACCACCCTCACCACCACCACCCTCTCCACCACCACCACCCTCAGCTCCACCACCACCCTCAGCACCACCACCACCCTCAGCACCACCCTCACCACCACCACCCTCGCCACCACCACCCTCACCACCACCACCACCCTCAGCACCACCACCACCACCACCCTCACCACCACCACCCTCACCACCACCATCCTCACCACCACCACCCTCACCACCACCACCCTCACCACCACCACCACCCTCACCGCCACCCTCACCACCACCACCCTCACCACCACCCTCACCACCACCACCACCCTCACCACCACCACCACCACCCTCACCACCACCACCACCCTCACCACCCTCACCACCCCCACCACCCTCACCACCAGCCTCACCACCACCCTCACCACCACCACCACCCTCACCACCACCACCACCCTCACCACCACCACCACCCTCACCACCACCACCCTCACCACCCCCACCACCCTCACCACCAGCCTCACCACCACCACCCTCACCACCACCACCACTACCCTCACCACCACCACCCTCACCACCACCACCCTCACCACCACCCTCACCACCACCACCCTCTCCACCCTCACCACCACCACCCTCACCACCACCACCCTCACCACCACCACCACCCTCACCACCACCACCCTCACCACCACCACCCTCACCACCACCACCCTCACCACCACCACCCTCACCACCACCACCACCACCCTCACCACCACCCCCACCACCACCACCCTCACCACCACCCTCACCACCACCACCCTCTCCACCACCACCACCCTCAGCTCCACCACCACCCTCAGCACCACCACCACCCTCAGCACCACCCTCACCACCACCACCCTCGCCACCACCACCCTCACCCTCAGCACCACCCTCAGCACCACCCTCACCACCACCACCACCACCCTCACCACCACCACCCTCTCCACCCTCGCCACCACCACCCTCGCCACCACCCTCACCACCACCACCACTACCCTCACCACCACCACCCTCACCACCACCACCCTCACCACCACCACCCTCACCACCCCCCTCACCACCACCCTCGCCACCACCCTCGCCACCACCACCCTCTCCACCCTCACCACCACCACCACCCTCACCACCACCACCACCACCACCACCCTCACCACCACCATCCTCACCACCACCACCCTCACCACCACCACCACCCTCACCGCCACCACCACCACCACCCTCACCACCACCCTCACCACCACCACCACCACCACCCTCACCACCACCACCACCCTCACCACCACCACCACCCTCACCACCCTCACCACCCCACCACCCTCACCACCACCCTCACCACCACCACCACCCTCACCACCACCACCACCCTCACCACCACCACCACCCTCACCACCAGCCTCACCACCACCACCCTCACCACCACATCACCTCCACCCTCACCACTACCACCCTCACCACTACCACCCTCACCACCACCCTCGCCACCACCACCCTCGCCACCACCACCCTCTCCACCCTCACCACCACCACCCTCACCACCACCACCACCCTCACCACCACCACCACCCTCACCACTACCACCCTCACCACCACCACCCTCACCACCACCACCCTCACCACCACCATCCTCACCACCACCACCCTCACCACCACCACCACCCTCACCGCCACCCTCACCACCACCACCCTCACCACCACCCTCACCACCACCACCCTCTCCACCACCACCACCCTCAGCTCCACCACCACCCTCAGCACCACCACCACCCTCAGCACCACCCTCACCACCACCACCCTCGCCACCACCACCCTCACCACCACCACCACCCTCAGCACCACCACCACCACCACCCTCACCACCACCACCCTCACCACCACCACCCTCACCACCACCACCCTCACCACCACCACCCTCACCACCACCACCACCCTCACCGCCACCCTCACCACCACCACCCTCACCACCACCCTCACCACCACCACCACCCTCACCACCACCACCACCACCCTCACCACCACCACCACCCTCACCACCCTCACCACCCCCACCACCCTCACCACCAGCCTCACCACCACCCTCACCACCACCACCACCCTCACCACCACCACCACCCTCACCACCACCACGACACTCACCACCACTACCCTCACCACCACCACCACCCTCACCACCAGCGACACTCACCACCACCACCCTCACCACCACCACCACTACCCTCACCACCACCACGACACTCACCACCACGACCCTCACCACCACCCTCGCCACCACCACCCTCTCGACACTCACCACCACGACCCTCACCACCACCACCCTCACCACCACCACGACCCTCACCACCACCACCCTCACCACCACCACCCTCACCACCACCATCCTCACCACCACCACCCTCACCACCACCACCACCACCCTCACCGCCACCCTCACCACCACCACCCTCACCACCACCCTCACCACCACCACCCTCTCCACCACCACCACCCTCAGCTCCACCACCACCCTCAGCACCACCACCACCCTCAGCACCACCCTCACCACCACCACCCTCGCCACCACCACCCTCACCCTCAGCACCACCCTCAGCACCACCCTCACCACCACCACCACCACCCTCACCGCCACCACCCTCGCCACCACCACCCTCTCCACCACCACCACCATAATTATTAATCAGTTCATCTGTTATGTATCTGAGGAAGGCGATAGCAACGGGTTGTACTTTATTCGTTACTGCAATAGCTACGGACAGTGCAATGTTATGCACAAATCAAATTGGCACCGTGCCCAATCGAAGCGTTGCGACGCACTTATTTAGACGATCTGTCCGGTAACGATGATCATGATGATGACATACCGCGTCAACCCACACGGTTCACCCCGTCTTCTTGTGCAGGGAGATTGAGTTCTCAGGTCCATACGGGCGTACAGCCGTTTCAAATCGGGCACAAAAATAGGTGTCTATCTGTGTGTTTCTCCCTTGTGATGGGACTTGAAAGGATGAACGTTGAGATGTATAAGGGGCACGGGGTGACCAATAAGGTCTGCATTGGTCTGTAATAAGGCAAGGCACTGACAAGGGGTTGACAGGTATGTGATGATGATATTGTTGGCAATGGTGGAGATTGTTACATTTACGTCATGTGCCTGCTCCAACGAGGTTGGTTGGAGGCCATACTCATCAGGGGGCTGATGATGATGATGGTAATCAGCATGGCTGGTGATAGCGATTGGTGGTGATGGTTGGTACGGACCAAAGTCAACGCGTTTCCCAAGCTCGGTTGGCTTGGGGCGATGCTCGCCACGTTCATTAGGGGGACACGAGCTTGTGATACAATCCACGTTTCTGAGTCCAGGATTCATCTTTCCATGGGTCAATCGTTGTTGATCTCTCTCGCACAACGTATTACCTATTTTAGCGAACGAGACGTGCGATGATGGGTCGTCAATTCCTGACCCCAGGGTTTAAACTGATGAACCCATATTTTTGTGTTTGCTAGTCCAGTGCACTGACGTCAGAGCCATGCGGCTGGATCAAGAAAGAACATTGTTGTTTTATTATGGTTACAACACATGCCACCGTAACTGGGTTTACGTGTTTAGTGTACGAGATGGGGGGGGGGGAGGCCGATTGTGGATACGGGCATCGGTCGGATTGGTCTCCACGAGTCTGGCGATCGAGGAATGGGGAGGACCCTAATGCCAAGATGATGATCGGTGGCTTTGGCCTGGCTGACTTTTTGACGAAAGAAAAAATGTGAACGTGGAAAGGAAGGGGTAAAATGTGTGTCCTTTAGAGAGAACAAAAAATAAATATTCTGCTCATGAGGAGCATGAACATGTGCACATCTGTTATGCGCGGCGAAAGGGATGGTGGTTTAGGGCAGGGGTCGGCAACCAAAATAACAAGAAGAGCCATTTCTTTCCAATTCGGTACAAAATGCAGTATTTCAAGAGCCGCAATGCATCTGAGTACATACGTACTCATCGTCAAGAAGCAGCCCGTAAAGAGCCGCATGCGGCTCCGGAGCCGTAGGTTGCCGACCCCTGGTTTAGGGGGAACAAGACACTCAGCCCGGCACCACTGAGATCCAAAGTTGTTTGAACCGGGTTCTCCACTGCACCACGGTCTCAGTCCAGTCACCAATAACTGCACACAAAAAACATAGCTTTGTATTTTGTTTCTTTCACCCAATTAAGGTAACTTGCAGCTCGAAGAATAAAAAAAATACTTTCTAATGAACATTTTTTCTGAGCAGCTACATGTGATAAAGTCCATGAACATACAGCTCTCAGGATGACTGTACAATGAAAACAAGACGGTACTCTTTCTTTCGCATGGGATGCTGCCATGGTATAACGGCTAGCCACATGACTTGCAGTTCATAGGTCGCTGAATATATCTCCCAGCGCAGCAGGTGAAACACATAGACACTTCTTCTTGGTTCTTTCGGTAAAGTCACGTAGAATGGAAATAATAAAATAATAAAAATAAAACATAAAAAAATAACTCTCACTACGTTTCGGCCACAACGCACAGACTCTGTCTACTCGACAGACCTGCTCTCCACCTGAGGACGGCTGCTTGCGTTGTGGCCGAAACGTCGTGAGAGTTATTTTATTATGTTTTATTATTTTATTATTTCCATTCTACGTGACTTTACCGAAAGAACCAAGAAGATGAATCCCTGCAGTCACGAAAGCTTTAAATCGAAATTTAAATAGACACTTTTCTTAAATCTCCCTGCCTCTGTCCACCAAACAGTCTAAATGGATAGACCACAGTCGCTCGGCAGGTCATGTGTGGTGGAGTTCAGTGTGGCTAGTTCTTCTACCTCTTCTAAGACTTGCGGACGGTGTGGAACAGTAGGCCAAATACCCTCTAAAGGGGCTCTTTCGAGCTCCCTCTCATTGCATGAGCAGGAAATTGCAGGGCTGCACCTTTAACTTTTGTAGTCTAATGAACATGTTTTTCATTATCCATATTTTAGTTTGATCTGGGCTAGCCCTCCTCTCCCCCATTTCCCCTGAATAATTCAGAATTAATAAGAATACTTTCATTATTATATAGCGTCATTCACGCTAATAGCATCCCACAATGCTGTACCTTAATTATATATATCTGTACCAAATCCCATATACAACCACAACCAGGCAAATTAAAATCCTACTACCAAGCAAAATAAAAAATAATAATAGACAAAAGGCACAACAACACAGGTTATCACAGCAACTATTTCTCTGACGTCTTCTCAGCTGAAAGCCTGTGAATGATGAACGTTCTTGTGCCCTGCAGAACCAACTGATCGGATGTCTGCTCATCGTGTGCTGTAACCTCCTTCTGAGCGGGGCGTTCTCTCTGCAGGTGAGTGTCACTGCGTGCGCGCCACTTGACACAAGGATTGCTCATCCATGATCACAATTATAAAAAAAAAATCATCCTTGACGGGATCCATTCTCGATTCCAATTGTCGTGGAATCTTAAATAAAATAGATTCCCCTCTGCGATGCATAAACCCACGCATTTTGACTCATGTTAAGCCAAAGGCCCGCCACCGAAGAGATGGAGTGATGAAATCAGCTAATTGTCAGGTGCTAGATGGATCATTATATCCCTGGTGCCCAAGAGGTGGCGGCAGTTTCGAGAGGCCTTCATCCTGTGGCATTGCACAGTTCCATGTTGTTAAAATATTGATTGATGAGCACAGAATTGAGAGAGATTTTAATCTAGATTTGAAGCTTTCGTGACTGCAAGTATTCATATTCTTAGGTTTTCGGTAAAGTCACGTGGGTAAAAAAAATAAAAATTAATAAAAGTAAAATAAAAATAAAATAAAAATCACGACGTTGTGTTGCCTCCGAAACGTCGTGATTTTTAATTTTATTTTACTTTTATTAATTTAAATTTTTTTACCTACGTGACTTTACCGAAAACCTAAGAATATAAGATTTTAATCTGACTTCTGCATCTTGTGTAAGGGTTTGTTTCCAGGATGCGTATGGGTTAAAGGCAGTGGTTTGTGGTGTAACAACCCGGGAAATGTTTACGCTTAGTTTGCAGTCTTAATTCCGTGCACACTCAGCAAAAACGAAGCACTCGAGGGATTTTCTTTACGACTGACCACAGGTCACGGATAGTAGCAGGACTTCATATCAGCTGGGTGTGTCTAGGTCAGCGACTCACAAATATATCTCTGCACCTGGGGCACCACATGCAGTAACACCTCTCGCGATGACTGTGGCTACAACAGAGAGGCTTCTAGTCGCATGCACCCCTACTCCAGTCTACCAGCGACCTAGAAAAATGTATCCCTGGACCGTAAGCATATAGCAGTATTGATTCACAGATTTAGCATAGATTTATGTGCTCAAGATGAATGCATTGAGATGTGTGGGTAAGATTTAATCATATTTAATTCATGCAAATTACATGCTAATGTTACATTTAAGCTTGTGGAGCGAACAAAGTTGTATAAATGAGACCGAATAAACAATAAAAATATCCAAATTAAATACTAAAAACGAGATAAAAAGGAGTTGAACCACGACTTCGCATTCTGCCAATTCTTCAAATGTTTACTATGACCCAAATGTTCACAACGACCCCTGACCTCACCCCCTCTGCCCCTGTCACTGACTGCCCCTTGTGTTCCTGACCTCGCCCCCTCTGCCCCCACCTCTGCTGCCCCAATGTAGAAGAGCGTGCACGTGCGTGCCGGGCTGGGCAAGTGCGCTCACCCGTACGCCAAGAGCCCCGCGTGGCGCCTCGGTCTGGTGCTCATGGTCCTGGGCGAGACGGGAAGCTTCGTCGCGTACGGGTTTGCGCCCATCATCCTGCTGGCGCCCGTCGCCGCCATCTCCATCGTGGGTAAGACCTGTGTGGACAAATCTTCCATCTTATAAGCTAGCTAGCTATAAGCTAGAATTGTCAGCTATAAGCTAGCTAGCTTTGCTATATATATTTTTTTCATTTTTTACCAGGTAAGGCCCACTGAGCTGTATAGCTCTTTTTCAGATGCGACACTGGCCACTAATGATAACTCAACGAAGTGGCTTATCGTGTGGAAATTTAGCGCAGGTCATATACTCAAACGCATGTTTCTAAATGTGGAAGGAAAAACCGGAGGACCTTGGGAGCAATCGACACAACCACGGGGAGAACACGCAAACTCCAAATATACAGCAGCAGGCGTCAGGGTCTGGATCGAACCCACGACCTCCTGCGCACCAGGCGAGGTAGTTAACATCTCCTAGCCACTGTGATGATGATGAGAGAGAGAGAGACACGCAAACTCCAAATATACAGCAGCAGCATGTGTCAGGGTCTGGATCGAACCCACGACCTCCTGCACACCAGGCGAGGTAGTTAACATCTAACCACCGTGATGATGATGATGATGATGAGAGAGAGAGACGCAAACTCCAAATATACAGCAGCAGCAGGCGTCAGGGTCTGGATCGAACCCACGGCCTCCTGCATGCCAGGCAACGGTGATAACATCTCGCCACGGAGGCCGCTGTGTCCTTGGGCAACAAGCGATAGAGTCCTTCGTCTGTCTCTTTCACCGAAGAGCCGCTGGAATCGCATCCACGTCAGGCCTCTACATTTGAATACCTCCACTGTTTTCACGTATGTCCTCCGCCTCTGTTGCCTACTGGACATCTGTGGAAATGAGCTTTATTGCTCATAGGATTCCTCCAGTATAAATATTCAGATTCTTCAACTATAGCTGTCATTGCTTTTTAGAGAAAAGCTCACACCGAATTCCCGTCACCCCATTTGGGACAGAATGCGCTCCGGTCTCTGTGTTTATAATGGCTCTGGGCTCCCTATGGGGGACAGGCGCAGTGTAATAATTGTAATGATGACTAGAAACATCACGCTTTAATTTCCTCCCCCCATGAAGATTATTACGTTACCCAGATTTTAGATTATGTTACAAAGCTACTGGTCAACTTGCAACTCAAAAACGAATGGGAAGGGAGTTTAAAATTGTTGCAAATCTTCTGTGATTCACATGTCGCAAAATTAAAGTAAATTTTTACAAGGCCCTGTCTCTACCAGTACCTAAAACTATAGGCTACTAGATACACGATCATTTATAATAATGTAATAATTGTCCCTGATGAATAATCATAATACAATTAGAATCGATTCATGTATTATGTTAACATATTAACTGTACCTATTTAAGGAAGCCTAATCAGGTGACATGGTTACTCTCAATTTCAGGATTCCCATTTTAAGCATGGGGATAACATGTGTATTCGTATTTTTTCCTTATAAGCTAGCTAGCTATAAGCTAGAATTATAATGTTTGAGTAGACTGTATGATATTAACATTGCTTGATCTGGAAAAGCAATTGCCTTCAAAGAAATGCAGTGCAGGAAAACACATGGTCGATCACACTTGCGTGACAAAGTCCACGCCACCGCCAATGTTTGACAAGTCTTTGAATGGAAGGGGTTGTTGAAGGCTTCAGCAGGTCATAAATATATATGCAGAGGTGTTAAACTATTCAGGAAGCTGCTGCGGTGTAATTTTTATTGCATTGGACTTAAACTAAAACTATAAACTAAACTGTTTTTGTTTTGATTTGTCTTTTTACCAGGTAAGGCCCACTGAGCTACAGTAAAACCTTGGATTGCGAGCATAATTCGTTCCGGAAACGTGCTTGTAATCCAAAGCACTCGTATATCAAAGCGAATTTCCCCATAAGAAATAATGGAAACTCAGATGATTCGTTCCACAACCCCAAAATATTCATGTAAAAATTATTAATACAAAATACCATTTTATATTTTTATTATTTAAATGTAATATAAAGTAATCAAATGTATTAATTACATTTAATCGTGGCTGGTGTGAGGGAGACGAGAGAGAGGAGAGGAGGAGGGGGCCATTTTTCCAGTACAGTTACTAAAGAATAGTCACTACACTTGGACACAAAATAATAAAATGCTTTACGCACACACACACGTGGTCACAACACTAGTAAACAGTGTACGCTCGCACGGATGTTGACTATACGAGTGAGGCACGTCGGCTGAGACCAAGCATGGGAGACGATTACCCACAATCCTGCAGCGAGAGAGAGAGAAGAACCATCGGTTCAGTTGTGATCACGTGACGCTCGGCAGACAAAGCGTATACTGTACGTACTACTCGTATTGCAAGACCTCGTTCGTTTATTAAGTTAAAATTTATCAAAAAATGTAGCTCGTCTTGCAAAACACTCACAGACCAAGTTACTCGCAATCCAAGGTTTTACTGTATGTATATAGCTCTTTTTCAGAAGTGAGCTGGTCACAAAATGATAGCTCAACAAAGTGGCTCTGTTGAGCTCCCACGACCTCCCGTATACCGGGCGAGGTAGTTAACATCTCTTTGCCACCATGGCGCCCCTTGCAATCCAGAGGTCGCTTGCTTGATTCCATTTGCGGTTGAAACGATGGTGGAAGGTTCCTCAAATCTCCTCCCACCCCCTCTGTCCACCCGGTGGTATGAATGGGTAACACCACGGCTGATCAGAAGGTTGCAAGCGGTGGGGTAAAGTATGGGTACAACCACTTCTAATGCATCCGGTCGATGTGAAAGAGTAGACCAAATACCCTCTAAAGTTTGTTCTAGTCGAGTTTCTTCTGCCAGCAGTGCAGTGAACAGGCTTTTGAAATTGTGTAACAAAGCAATCTAAATTTTGATTTAAAGCTTTCGTGACTGCAGGGATTCATATTCTTGGCTCTTTCGGTAAAGTCACGTAAAAGGAAAATAATAAAATAATAGTAAAATATTTTTTCACATTGTTTTGTCTTTATTTTATTTTATTATTTCTCTTCTACGTGACTTTACCGAAAGAACCAATAATATGAAAGCAATCTAAGATTGATTTTAAATCTATATTACTGAAATTCATGTAATATTAAAATTAATGTAAGATAGAAGATAAAAAAACAAGAATTTTGAAAGTACATTATGTAAAATCTGACATGAAAGCTTTGCTAATGGTAAAGAATGAAGAAGAATCTTGCACATGCGCTGATTCTCCACCGCTTTCCAACATGCGTTTGTCCTCAAAAGTATAGAAAAGTTGAATACATCCTACTTGAATCAGAAAGACATATTGAAAAAGGATTTTATCGAGAGGCAGAAAAAACAACACGTGGATTAGAGAACCTCTGTTAGTCAAAACATCATATTGACTTGGGAAAGGCAAGTTGGCATGATTAGTAGAACATCGTAAGAAGGGTCACTGGCTGACGGGCGAGAATAAACGAGTGGCAGCCAAGGGTGGGAACACACCCGAGAGAGAGCGTCCATCGTGGAGATGGAGCGATGTAATCGGCTCGTGTGCACGTGCCAGTTGGACTGTTGCATTGTAGGACCACGAGCGATGCTCACAGCTGGGGGAAGCCTTCATCCAGCAGTGGAGTGATCATTCAAATAATAATAAAAAATTGAGCGTCATTCATGAAAATTGCATCTCAAAACGCTCAGGGTTATGGCTGATGATGTTGATGATGTTGATGATGATGTTGATGATGTTGATGATAGAATCTTTCTTCCCCGTCTGTCTCCACCACTTGTAGCGAGCAGCGTGCTGGGGGCTGTGTTCATGAAGGAATGCGTGCGACCCTTCGACGCAGCTGGTGAGTAAAATCGTCTGGAGTCTTGATCGTGTCTGAAACGAATGATAAATAATCAACACGGTGCGTTTAGTGACCTCAAGTCACCGCACTGCACAAGGGGACGGTCGAAAGCGAGTGGTGGTCTGCGGTTTCAAGTACCCCGTCACCAAACCCGCCACCGGCGCATTTCAAAATCACTGCGATGTCACATCGGCTGGTGGTTATACGTCATCTCCGCTCTGTGAACCTGGCAACCTGAGCTCGATTTTCGGCCAAGGCTAACATCGGTGACGAGTGATGTATGAACCGGTGCTAGCCACCCACCTCCCCCCACCTTAACCAATCCGTACTCACCAGCACGGTGAAGTATGATCAAACAGGTCCCGTGATGACACATTCCGCGGGTGTCCAAAGACAAAGTCAAAGATTCCCCGTATAGCCTTAACAGACTTGGGGCAAGTGCTGTTGGTGAGTACCTATGAAGGCCGGCACGGCACACAAGGGGTTGGGTGGCCAACACCATGCCTGGCCGCCTTTGTTTCCCCAGTGACGATGTTTACACACTGCATCAGGTACTAATTTGAGGCTGAGTCGATCTAGGGGAGGCCCAGTCATTGGTGTTGACCGTAAGAGGGAATCTAACCCGGGTCGTGAGTTTCGTAGCGCAGCGCGCTAACCGCCACACTACCCATTGTGTGTGTATGTCCGCACATACATACACACACACGTGGACATGTGGGGCCAAATTTTTGCATGTCTCATAACAGAGACAAAAATGAATTGAATCTTGGCTCATGTCACAACCTCGTTTCGTTACAATTCATTGAATTGCTATGGGTTGGAGGGAATAGTTACACACTTTGTAAAACTACGACAAAAGGAATTAATTCCGGAATCAAATTGCAAGGCCCTTTCATGAAAATCCTTCCTATTTCTCCAGGCTGAATTCTTAAATCCCTAAAAATAGAGACAATAACACATTGATTTTAGACGTCAATCTTAGCCCCGTATTGTTACAATTCGTGGATTTTGCTTTGTTGAGGTTGTGGGTGTTGCTAAATGGTTACATGCCTCGTAATAATAAGACAACATGGGAAAAAAATTTGAATCGTCATAATTCATTGACATCATCATCATGATCCATGGGCAGGCAGCTCATAGTAGGTGTTCAATGCACTTGTTGCCATGTGATTCCACTTTCCTCTGTCTTGTGCCAATATGCTCAAGTAGTGCCACATCTTTCTCTTACGTGGTCGTCAAGCCGTTCTCTGTTAGGTCATTGACATCACCGGGGGCTATTATCGTCACGGTGTGCGTGTGCGCGTGTGTGCTTATGCGGACAGGCCCGGTGGTGGTGGTGGTTGGCGTGTACCTCATTGGCGCCTTCACGCCTAACACTGCGCTGGAGCTATCTGCCACGGTGATGGTGCAACGCCTCGTGGGCTGGCAGTGCCTCCTCTATGTGGTACAAGAGTAGCGCTCTCTCTTCCACACGCTCTCTCCAGCACTGTCTCCAGCACGCTCTCTCTCTCTCCAGCACTGTCTCTCCAGCACGCTCTCTCCCGCACGCTCTCTCTCTCCGCTCTGCCAACTGGGAAACTTGAAGAGCCGTTACACTCAAAGGGGCTCATGAAAAGGCAATTGGCAATCGAGTTACGTAATTACCCCTAATAGTTGCGTAATTAGCCAATGAGTTGTGGCGCGCTCGCCCGTATCGAATTCTTTCGACCACCTGTCGAGCTCTAGCCCACCGTGCTTACTGCCCTCTTAACAGTCCACTGCTGGATGAAGCGTAGACTAAACTATATTGGAGCCACATGCTTGCTCATGCCACTGCGGGTGATAAGGGCCCTATCTAAAGGCTATTTGGCCTACTCCTCCATTGACTTAATGTCTTGCAAGATGCGGGGGGCACCCGTGTTTTACTCGACGCCATCCAGCAACTCTGTCATGAATCGGAGCTCAATTGGCCACATCCACGTCTGGACAGAACAACCAAAGCCCCCCCCCCCCCCACGTCACTTGGTGATTTCCCCATTTCTGGTGGTAGTGGCATGGGCACGTGCTTCGCGAAGAATCGGACAGAATTGGTCCAACTCTCGAATCGGGTCCTAATATGCGGAAGCCGGAACGTGGCAGGTGGCTTATAGAACTGCAACAAAAGTATTCCATGGTTAAACTTCTGAACTTTCAGGGCATTTTTTGTTGTTGTTTTATATATTTATAAAGATTTGGCTTGAACAGATGGCTGCAGAGAAGCTCACGTGGGCTTGAAGAGAGAGCTGAGCAGAGTGTAGCCACTTCAATGTGCACAGTTGTGGCCACTTAACTGCACCCAGAGGCCTGCACTCAAGCGTAGCTAGCGCCAGTGATCGGCATTCCTTTAAAGCAGAGAGTGGGGAGCCTTTTCTTTCCCAAGGGCCGAGTTGGACTTTCAAATTTCTTTGGCGGCACGCAAATGAAACGCGCACACACACACCCGCTGGCTTAGCGTTGTCCAAAAATAACTCTGCGGACAATTAGAGTTCGCCTTTGCTGCGGTGACAAGTGACTGAGCCTTGACAAAATAACCCAACGCGGCGAACCGGCCGGGTGGATCGGCGATCAGGCAAGTGGGCATGCAATCGGAAAGATCCGAGCTTTAGTTCAAACAGTGGCTTTGTCGTGGTTAGCCACTAAATGTAAATGTAGGGGCCTTGCGGTGGCGGGATGCTAATTACCTCGCCTGGTATGCAGGAGTTCGTGGGTTCAACCCCGACCCGGGCGCCTGTATATTTGGAGTTTGCATGTGTCTCCCCTTGGTCGTGTGGAAAAATCCACGCGATATCATGTGGTGGAGTAAAGTTTTCCCCTCCATTTCGAATCTAAATGCGTTTATAGTATTTGGCTGCTATAAATTACCACGTGATAAGTCACTTCGTTGAGATATCATTTGTGACAGCCAGTTCGCTTCTGAAAAAAATAACTATTTCGCTCAGTGGGCCTCTTACCTGGTAAAATCAAAATGGTTAGTTTAGTGGCCGCGCGTCGTATGAAGTGAAGTTACGGGCTGGGTAGAGGCCACGGGCCCGAGGTTCCCCACCCTTCCTTTTAAGATTGGGAGAGGCTCTGCTGCACCTTAAAACGCGTTCCACACACTGTAGGTGCCTTGCTGTTAGGACATATCTTAAAACCACCACGGCGTCTAATCCAGTGACACACGGTCATTCATTCATTCATTCCTACTTGCCACCATTACGTCAGCCCAGCTTTTCTCACTTGGCTTGTCTCTGAATGCTCTCGCTAATGGAATGGACTTGTCTCCACATGACCTGCTCGCCAAGTATAACGCTTGTGTGTGTGTGTGTGTATATATACAGTGTAAGTACTTATTTTGCATGGTGATGTTACGTAACACACGCTATTGTTGCACGCTGTAACGTTTTAGAATAATAATACAACGCCCTTTATCGAGGATAGCCTCACTAAGTCTAAAGACTTTTTTTTTAAAGAGAGTCCCGCTGTCGTGGCATGTGCACGAGGTGGTAACACTCAAAGCGCCGCACAGATGGATAATAAAACATATCCATTGCTATACCATCATCTCGTAACCACTTTGCAGCCGAAGCCTGCAGCACCTGGTATTGCCAAACAATCTTCAATACAAATGCTAACCAGGCGAGATTCTGCTTAGCTACCGATGCCTCATGAGATTGAGCACATTCAGGGAGATGTAGTTGTAGGTAAATAGAATCTGCCAGCATGTCGCTGTAAATGCAACTAACTCATAATCTTCCTCCTGTGTCCTCCCTCTTGTGCCTGCCTCATTCCACACACACAAACACACGTAAATATATACACACCTCCCTATGCAATATTCTAATCATCCTCCTTGCATGTCTCCTCTCCCAAATATATCCTGTCTATTAAATTGCCCATCTTCTTTCCGACAACCACTTGTCGACAATGGCATTAAACACCGCATGGACGCTGGCATGCACACGCACACACGCACGCACGCACACGCACGCACATGCGCACGCACAGTCAGTGGAGATGGTTGCCTTCAGCCTGCTGCTGTATTTTTACCGACACCGCGAGGTGCAGAGCGTGCTGATGGTGCTGGCGCTCGCCGCCCTTCTCGGTAAGAGACCACCATCCCTCATTGGTAACGGTCTGTCTTGGATTCAACGCCGGGGTCCACGAGGCTGGGTTTGAGGTAGTGGCCGGAACAACACGAGGCCTAGCCAAGGCCCAGGCTGAGAGCCTGTTAGGAGGGAGGCCAGCGTCGAGACCAGTTGAGGCCTCATCATCTGGACTGGCTTATTAGCTACAGTGAGCAAAGTTCGGGCGGGTAACACTCCACGCAGACTGCTTCACGAACCTACTTGCTGTACTGTCATCTCCTGGCCGTTGATATTTCAAAGTGAAAGTGACCTTTTAAAATGGGCCTGTAAGTGGGCTGAATAACAATAATAAGAATAATGGGTGTTTTTTTTTACCCAGCAAAGTTTCACAAGACTTTTATAAGCTGGTCCTGCTTTGAGATGTTTGGTCAATTCCATGAATGAGTGTTTGGCTTCATGGTGGGATGAAAACCGGAGAACCTGAATGACAGCACGGCATACACGCGAGGGGATAGCTGCATCTCAAGTTCAGGAGACAGGCTAACAGACCCCCCCGCTACTTTCCATTCCCTGGCCACATCGCAGCCCAGTGGGTTAGGGAATTTGACAAATCTCTTTATGTGATCCACAAACCCTTACCCTTCAGGGCGCTGGTGTGCATCGCCGCAGCGTGTATAAAACTCCTGCGCCGAGAGTTGGCCTGCCTTGTTTTCCAAAAAAATGTCGTTGCCAGGTGTGGCTGTGATGTCAGGGGTGTGATTCGTGCCGAAAACACAGCTGCTGTTAAATTAATCGGTGTCGGCCACACCCTGTGTGCAGACACCGAACTAAACTCTTGGGAGATCACTGGCTCAGAGCTTAAATCCAAGTAGCAGTCTAGTGATGTTTTCTTGTATGTGTGCATTTATGTATGTGTTCATGTAGGTGTGTCTGTGACTACGTGTCTTTGTGTTCATGTAGGTGTGTCTGTGACTACTTGTTTTTGTGGGAAGCAGTGGTGTCGTGGTTAGCGCACTGCGCTACTAACCCGGTGATCCGAGTGTGTAAGCATTGCCACTCGGGAGACAAAGGTGGTCGGGCGTGGTGCTGGCCACCCACCCCCTCGTGTGCCATGCCAGCCTTCATAGGTGCTCGCTGACAGCCCTTGCCCTAACAGTCTGTTAAGGCTGCACGGGGGATCTTCGTCTTTTGTTTGTGCTGCACATACATGAATGCGAGTGCATGATTTAGCGGCTAAGATTTCTCTTTCTACCGGCGCTTCCGTTGCCGGCACCGGCTTGTTTGAAATCGTTTTTTGCCGGGTTATTTTCCACCCCCGCTCCCAAGGGGGGGCCACCGTTTGCCCGTCGGTCAGCCTTCTCATTGCCCCTTCTGCCCTTGGCACGGAAATTGAACACTGCGTGCCTGACATTGTGCAACTGACCGCTAGGTTACGCAGCCGCCTGCGTAATAGTGGTGGCCCCCGAGAGCTGGTGGTTATAAACCGAGAGCAGCAACCCCAGGGCAGTGGTTAGCACGGTTGGTTACGTACGGTGCGAAATAAGTTCAACATACATACCAAACTGCACTGGCTAGCTTGGTGTAGTGTGGTCAGATAGGTCAGGCATAATCTGCATAGTATGGAGCAGGCTCTCATCCAGTAGTGGGTTTTTCACAAAAGGACTATACATGGAGTTCACTTTGCCTGGCTTGAGTACAGGCTTTGTTTAATGGTATGGAGCAAGTCACTCGGCCAGTTGTGATAACGTTGAAACCCAAAGTGTCGTGGATATGGCTTGTGGTTGTGAATGCCACAATGGTGGCTTAAAGCAGGCGTGGTTAACACAGTGCGGGTGACGCGGATGACGTGGGTGTGTATCATGTCCTTGTTTGGCATGAGCTACACAGGTAGCATGGTTTGTGCGGTGTGGGTTGGCATGCGTGGTGGATAAAGGTAACAGCTTGCATGGTGTGTGTGTGTGTGATGTGTGTGTTGCATGGGTGTCATGGTTTGTGATATGTGTGGCATGTGGTGTGTGGGCCACGTGGGTGGCGTTCCGCGTATGTGGGCGCTATTGGTCCTATTAGTGTGGGTGACCTGTGCGTGCATGGCGTGTGTGTGTAACGGTGCCATGCGCAACGTGCGCCCGTCTGGTCGTGCCGCGAGCTTCTTGGGTGGCGCTCGCGGCGGCCACCACACGTGACGCCGGTGTGCCGTGATGTCTGCGACTCTCTACCGACGTTGCATCGTCCGACGCGCGTATCTGCGCGACGTGTGTGCGACTTGCGCGTAGGCTCCGTGGCCGTGATCTCCATGCAGGGCGTGGCAGGAATGCTCGTGTTGTCCGTGGCGGGGAGCATGCAGCTCACCTACCCCATCTTCTACGTGCTGCTCGTCACTATGATGAGCTCCGCCTTCTTCCAGGCTGAGTGGGTGGCGGCATTCACGCCGACGATCACACAAACACAAATGTTGCCCACGCCGCAGCGCTACTAGCTGCTACCGTTGTCACTCACGTGGCCATCACACACGTGGGACCCACACGCACAGGTCACGCGTGAAAACATTCACACCACACCAACGGGGCTCCTGGTAATACAAAGATCGGAACCTCTTGCCATCGTAATGGATCGTGTCTAAAACACGCTCAGTCCTCGCTGAAAGGGTCCCATACCTACTCCAGTCCTTGCGACCCACCATGCTCCCTCATTCCAGTTTCACCAATTTAATTATCATCATCGTCCATCCTGTCCCTGGCCGTCGGCTCGTTAGCGGCAATAGGGCCGGACAAAATTCAGTCGTGCTCTAGAATCGGCATGATCGCTTGGCTCAATCTCAATTCCGTTCCATCTACTTTTACCGCTGCATCTATCGATCGAGTATTCTGTCGTCCCTTCCACCATTGTGCCCACGTCACCGAGGGTGAGATCCTCGTCCGGATTCGTTCTCGTCGCGTGCGGGAACCACTGCAGGGTTATTCCCTTGACTTTGTCTAAAAAGGTTGATTTTACTCATAGCCGTGTTCAATCTCTGTACATTCAACTCACCCACGTTTGGGTGCAGATTATCAAGTGGTTATGTGCGGCACACGCGTGATGGTTGTGAATCGCGGTCCGCTTGATTTTAGAGAGCGCTAATTAATTTGAATCGGCCTATGTCTCTATGAGACGCACAACACAATATGTCAACGTCAATCTGAAGCGATGCTCTCTGCATCACGAACGCACGCGTACAGGCACACAGGATGTCCATGTAGACTTGAATCGGCGCTCTCCTTGTCACATAGGGCTATTGTTTAGCTATAATGAGGCCCTTATAGTAAGTTATGACTTGGGCCTATCACGGCTCGGTTCAGGCTTGGCTGTGGCTCCATTCAGCCAGCACAAAGCACGCTTAGCTAGAGTTGGCTCTGATCATTGTCCCGGCCTCGCTCGAGATTTCCATGAGCCGAGCCCGAGTCGAGCCTAAGCCAAGCCATGGCTGAGTCCACTCGCTCATGCGTCTTTGGAAGCATCTGAGCGGCTCCAGCCTACAATGAACCTGAGCGTTAGAGGCAGAGCCAAGTTTCAAGTTTCATTTCAAGTTTCATTTATTAGGTATAGCCCTGTGAGCCATTCGGCTCTTGAATCGGGTGCAACCGCAACAAACAAAAAAATTAACCCGTAAAAACTAAGTTTTTCACTATAAATCCTTTATATGCGTGTTCAATGGGCCACAACCCAGCCCACATTGGTCTTTGAAACGGGCGGCTAGAGTCCTCTCGTCCTCTGGCTTGAGATGGCTGCCACCTATGGGTCAGATGATTGTGTGCCAGCATTAACCAATTGGTAAATACATTTTTTTTTTCCCCTAAACAGTGTAAAATTTTGGAAATATTTTTCACGAAAATTCATTTTCACGCACAACGAGTCTGTGTGCAAAATGTCAGCTCGATTGGATCACGGGAAGTGGGTTAAAAAACGACCGATAGATTTGCACGGTCCTAAGCAAGCAAGCAAGCAAACTTAATATAAAGGATTTAAAAAACATGAACAAGAAAACATCTTAAAGTGACTATATGCAAACAGAAAATCCAAGAAAAGACAGCAAAATATTGCAGAAAAAGCACCGTACACCAACACTGTGTACAAAAATCCCAGTGGGCCTGGACTAAGAATCTGGCCCTGAGTTTGTATTTGAGCAGAGAAGATTGGTACACTTGGAGAGCGACATGCCTTTGTGGGTCACAAGAACTGGAGTTCTAGAAGGTCTTTGTCAATGTAGGGTACGGTACACTGCGTTCTGTACTAACTGAACTCGCTGGCTGGCTAATCGAGCATAGTAATCGTAAGGGAATGTTAATATGACATATAAAACAATGAGGTAAGTTTGTAATTAACGGCTGCTAGGCTACTCATTGCTATGCCCAGGGTAGATTTCCATTTGTCCATCTGAGAACACTTCACATGTTGTCAAGAAAACGGGGGTACCCCTTTACCCAATCAGTACCAAACTCGCCACACAGCTCACCCACAACAATACTAAACTCTATAGGTGTTATGCAAGGTTGGCCATTCCACACTTTGTTCAAAGTTATTGTTTATCGCAATATAGCATCCTTAGCATACGTCCGTGAGAACACATGCACTTGAGTGTAAGCTGCCATACCAAACTCGTGTGTCGCCCGTACGTACGTTCCCAACTGAGTCTGAAAGTGTTTATGCATCAGCTCTCTCCGTTCGTAACTGGGAATGAGGTGGGGTGGGTGGCGACGGGCCTGACCCAATATGAACCAAACTTTGCTGCAACGTGTCGCTGTTCTGGACTTGCCACATCGATCTAACGGGGTTGCCCAAAACCTGTAGACCGCAAACCGCAGCGAAGAGCACAACGTTGCAAATATGCGCAAGAGCTTGGTGCCCTTCGGGCTATCTGCATGTTGGAAGCGTTCCATAGCTATTGCATTATTATGTTAACCTCTTCATTCGTGTGGTCAGTGAAGAGCCACTGTTAGTCGAGACTCGGTTCTGAGTGATTTAGCCATTCAATTTCTTCGTTTGAGAGCTGTGTATATATATAGATGGGGCGATGCAAAGGTTTACATGGTCCATGTTTTGGAGTTAGTAACCGTATTCACGCAACAGGTAGAGAGTCTAACTTGTTTGTACCATTACATCCCCTCGCAAATTGAAGGCCCTCTCCTAACCGGACCGGCCTGTCGGTTTGTTCGTTGCTGCAATCCGCAGCTTCCTGTGGCAGGCGACGGAGCAGTTCGGCTCCACTCGCGTCATCCCCATCAACTACATCTTCTCCACGATCAGCTCTGTGGCTGCAGGTAAAAACTCGGGGAGTGTGATTCATCGCACCTGGCTCGCCGGCATCGGCAATCCCCGTTCCGAATTGGCGGCAGGGTGGCGTCGCAGCGGGTAACGCTTGTGCCTCGCAGCGAGAAGGGCCCAGGTTCGATTTCTGACTCGGACGCTGTTCTGTGTGGACTTCTCCCCCGTTCTGTATGGGTTTCCATCTGGTTCTTCAAGGAGAAGACACTCCTATACTGAACGCATCGCCTTGTTAGAGAGAACGACCACTTGGAGGAGAGATCTCAGAACTACTTTTGTTATCCCTTGAAGTTACATTTTATATCCACACACCCTGCTACAAAGACATGTTCTTCACATGGCAACGAAACATTTTTTTTTTGACCATAGTAAAAATTCCAAATTAATCAATAGATTATTTTCATGCGCAGTCATTGGGTCACCAATTTTTGTAAGACTACCATCTCGCTGCACTTGACAACCCAGTTTAATCGCAGGCGTCTGAAGCCCAGATTCGAAAAGCAAGGTTTAAGTGGTGGTGGCGGCTTCGAGCTCTGACCTCTGAGCCACCTGGCCACTTACCTAGTGTCGGCTTTAATAGCAGTGGGCAATTTAAAACCTGGCACGCACGGCTCAGACACGAGCACACGTCGCAATGCAATTACCAAGCGTATGCAATTTCACTTGGTTGGTAAAATTGTCAATTAAAGAACGCATTTTATTTCTTAATCTCTTGGTTTTTTTTGACGAGTAGACATTGCAAATTATTGTCTTGATTTTCATCATCAGCCAATGAGCAATCCACTGCTGGATGAAGGCCCCTCCCCACAGCCGTCACCATATGTCGCGCTCACGTGATAACAGCGCTCATCTGGTGCCTGTGCACTAGCCAGAGGTCGCAAACGGGTACCCATACCCGGCCTGGGTACGGGTAGCCGGGTATCGGGTAGGGTACGGGTATCGGGTAGGGTACGGGTATCGGGTACCCAATTGCGACCTCTGGTACGAGCTGATTTCATCGTTCGGTCTCCCACGCTGGACGGCTCATGTCGTGCTCATTCAACTCCTTTCGGCTGCCACTCCTTCGCTTGTCTCAACCACGGCAATGATCCCTTCCAGATGAAGTGTCCTGACCCCAAGGCTGATGGAGACACAGAATGGAGATCTGCTTATTCAGAATGAGTGCTGTTGCAAATGATATCTCGTAAACCAGCAGAATTTGTAAAAACAAGCCTGACTCCGCTGTTGAGACCCAGAAAGTTCAAACTGGTCCAGCGTTTGCTGGCTTAAACAAATGCTGCTTGTTAATATTTGTCTCGAAAGCCAAGAGTCCAATAAACTGATAAAAAATTTCTTTATATGTAGAGACGTAGAATGAAACAGGAGGATGTCTCCAAATCTGGCTGTTGCCTGATGAAGCTGGTTGTAATTACTGGCAAAACGTCGTACTCAGATTGTAAATGTTGTGGCTTTGCTCTCCAACACACCGGTGTGCTGTACTAGTATACTACACTATACACTACACACTAGTGCTGTGCTAGTGACGAATTGTCATGTTCTGTTTACGTGACAACCCTTACTTGTTGGCTGTGTCGCGTGGTGGCGGGTTTAACGACATATTTACGCGCTCTAACCCAAAAAACCCTGTATTATGGACGATTATTAAGTTCTGCTTGGAGGTGCTTTTTCTTTTCTCACCAGTGAATGTGATGTCGTTAACTTTTCTACATTCTCTAATCCACGTGTTTATTTAGTTTTACTGTAACTGGAGGTTGAAGCGGGGTGGGGGGCAGTAGGGGTGACGGTCTATGAGGCATTATTGCACCCCTCCTTGAAGATTTCTTCTGGAGCTGCCCATATTTAATGTACCCCGAGTGAAAACACTAATTACCAAATTTCCATTTCGTATTGTTAACGCTGCATGATTTGCCGATTGCAGGAGCATTGGTGCGTCCTCCCTTCTTGATGGCGTACTTGGGATTTTAATGAGTTTCAGATTTTATTGCAGCTTTACATCCTTGCATTTGCGTTTATATAAGATGTGCTTCGGGCATACGATAATTGCAGGTACGGCACACAAATCCGTTATCCCCTGGTGTGCGCGCACGTGTGTGTGTGAGTGAACGAGTGTGTGTGCGGCTCATTGCGCTGCGAACCTGGCGACCTGAGTCAATTTCCAACATCAGTGATGATATCTGAACCGCTCCTGGGCCTCGCCTAGGTAGACTCAGCCTTCAATGAGTTCCTGATATGTATAAACGTCACTACTAGGGAGGCAAAGGCGACCTGGCATGGTGCTTGTCACACCACCCCCTCATGTGCTATAGTGGCCTTAATAGGTGCGTGCTTACAGTACCTGCCCATATGATCTGTAGGGGATCTTTGTCTTTCGGGAGCAGTCACGTAGTGGTCAGGGCACTGCGCTGAAACCCATTATCTGACTGCAATTCCTGGCCATGGCTAACTTGAGTGGCGATTATCTCAACCCATCCTGGGCCTCTCCCATGTCAACTGTGTGTGAGTGTGGGAATTTTTGTATTTGATGCATGTGTGTGTGTGGTGTATATAAGAGTATGGGCGTTCATGTGCATCCATGAATGTGTGCTTTTCTGTGTGTGAGATTGCTAATGAGCTGACCAAAGGGTACAGACTATGACAATGATGATGACGATGATAATGACCATATTCTCCAGATTTTAAGGCACAGCATTTTTCCTTCTATTTGAAAGCAAACTTTGGTGGTGTGTCTGTGTAAGACCAGATTTGTGTAACTTTATTGACACTGGGCACAAGTTTCGGGAGCCTTTTTTTTTTCCAGAGCACTTACTAAGAGCGCTTACCCCTAGAAGTCTATCCAGACTAAGCGTGTGGTCGTTGTGCGCGTGATTGTGTGCGCGTGCGTGCGTGTGTGTGTGCTTGTCACAGGTGGTATCTTTTACCAGCAGTTTCACGGTGCAGCCCTTCTCAATGTCCTCCTCTACATCCTGGGGTGAGTGACGGTTACGTGGTGGAGCGCCGTTTCGATCGCCATCTCCCGCCGTGCCATATATCATTTCTCGAGTGTATCACCGTTTACCGCGATGAAGTGTGAATGGCCTAATGAATCGCTGGGCGCGACTTTATAGAGTGGAGAGGCACGGAAGGGGGAATAAACCGTACTGCATTTGCTTGCCGATACCACCACCAGTGTTGCTGTCGCGGCATTAGCCATTGACCCCGTAGTGTGCCGTGCTGGCCTTCACAGATGCTGCCCGCCGTAACGGCACTTGCCCTGACAGTCGGCTATATACGGGGGACCTTTGTCTTTTTGTGATGACGTGCAGGTGCCTGCTGTGCGCTCTGGGCGTGCTGCTCGTGACGCGAAACCGCGGCAAGACGCCATCGCCGTTCCTCACGGCCGACTTCACCGGTGAGCGCCACGACGATTGACCGTTGCGGACGTGTTGTAATACTGGATGAGGGCCTCCCCACGCCATGGCAATCTTGGGGGTTTGGCCATACTTCACCGCGTGGGGTGGGTGTGGTTTAGTGTTGTTGCGGGAGCATATAAGTACAGTACAATTTATTCTGCTGCACTCCTTTCTGCCGACCGTGTAGCCCCACAAACCCTATCACAGTGCGGTCGTGCTTGGCGTTCACTCGGCCATGCACGACGTGCCAGGCTTGCTCGCTGCTGGGCTTCTGAGATGTATCTAGATCGGGCACATTGTACATCGTTTGCTAATTGTCCGTTCGTTACACATCGTACACCGCCATCACTGCAGCGCGCGCTTTCGGATGCGGTTCTGCGGCCGTCTGGAACGCTCTTCCGATATTAGGAAGCCACTGGAGCTATGCACTTTTAAATCATCTAGATTGAAAAATAATTTCTTTACAACTGCTTTTCGTGTTTAGTTTGTTGTCCTTCCCACGCACCTCCGATTAGCCACAGTTGGCTTCGTATGGTTGCGTACGAAGCTCAATATACATACACTTACCTTTTCCAGTGCAGTTATCACTCGCCAAGTATGTATAGACGTATATTGAACTTCTTTTGCATCGTACATAGCCAAACGTGCTACTCGGAGGTGCGGGGGAAGGACTACAAAAGAATCACGAAAAGCAGTTCTAAAGATTGAGTCTTTAATTTGGTATCGTGGTGAAGTGTACAGTAGTGTAGTGTGTAATAGTGTAGTGTACAGTGTTTGGTACATAGTGTAAGGTGTAGTGTATAGTGTATAGTAGTGTAGTATAGTATGTATGTTGAACTTGTTTCGCACCATATGCAGCCAACCACGCTAATCAGCGAGGTGTGGGGGAAGGACAATCGCATGACGTGCGCGCGAGTTTCTCTGTCTCACTCGCCCGTCGCCTGCGCGTGTCAGGCGCGACCGCGGGCCTGGCTGCGGCGACCCCCGACCCCTTCGCCTTCTCGTACCGCACGCTCGTCAAGGAGGAGCGCGAACGGGAGCAGCAAAAGGCGGCGACGTCGCTGCCGCCCCCCGAGTCCGTGCTGCCCCCCACGGCGGGCGCCTACAGCTCCACGCGGCATTGAGTGGGTTGGGGGCGGGGGGTGGCGGAGGTGTAATCTTGGACGCGCTGTAGAAATGTTTGCGACTGTCTGCTTTGCCGACTTGGCAGTGTGAGCGCTCAAGGCGGGTGGGGGGGGAGGCGGGCTGCATTAGCAGTGGTGAATGAGCGCAGGTCGGAAGCACGGCCTCGTTTCCGTCATGATCATCGCTGCCTCTGTTATGATCATCGCTGCCTTTGCCTACATTCACCTTGGGTACGCTAGGCGGTCGCGGAATTACAGCGTTGGGACGCAGAACCTGCAAATTGGCCGAGTAACGACGCATCAGCTCGTCGGTAAGCATCGAATGTTGCGCTCACGATTACACGCGTCGGGTTGTTCGTATCGATTTTCTGCGTCCTAACCAATGGGGTTAGCGTAACCCCTGCAGCCACTAGGGGTCGCTACACTCACTACAATGGATGTAAACAAAAAAACAGTGAATGCGTGAATGGAGTCGTGAGCCTCGACCGAGACAATCGTGTCGAGAAGAGGAGCCGATTGCTCGGTACTGATCATCGCACACGTGAACTCGAGCATTTCTTGGGACTTTTATCTTTCGTAAGAGTTCCTTTTTGCCGAGCAGATTGGCACGATTTGCACAAGAACCCATCTCTTATTCATATTCTTGAAGCTTTAAATCAAAATTTAACCCATCTCTTCTTTGTAGTGTCTAATTACATCCGTACTGGTAAATCCGTGGCTGTTGTATCGCCCAGATAACGAGGTATATAAAAGTAGGATAATATTTTTAAGCTGTGGCCTGCCTCCGCACAGAAGAATGGCCATTGCCCAGGAAGTTAAAGCAACTCTTAATTAAGGCCAATCTACACGCTGCTGGCATGAGTGTTGATACAGCGCAGGTGTCCGCCGTTGTTCTGTACAGCTCTGCGATGTGGTTTCCGGGTTGTGTTGTTTTGCCACGATGTCAACCCAAAAACGCATCGGAGAGCAATGTCAAGGCATTTTTTTTTTCAATGACAATGCACCGACGTCTTCCAGTCGCCAGCACCCGGGGGAAAAAAAAACAACGTCAAGGAAGCGCATTTCGAAAGTTTTTGTTCGCATTTTGAATGTGGCCCCACGTGCTCTGCGTTGTAAGGCAGTGTTGTGGCTGACGACGACGACTGCGGTGATGATGGCCAGGAGCAGAGTTGGCTTCCCCCTCATCCCCCTCCTTGATACCATTTGCGCGGTCGAGTCTCGGAAGCGCTGAAGGTTGTGGCCTGGGCACACGGCTTCAATGCGATCCAGGTGCCGTTATACAGGGTTCCATTATTTTCATTACTTGAGCGAGTGTGTGCGTGTGCGTGAGAGTGTGGGTAGGCGCCCACTGTCGGCACTTGCCCCAACAGTCTGTGAAAGACTAATGGGGCAATCTTTTGTATTTTGCATAAAAGCGGGGAGTCGTGGCGCAGTGGTTAGCGCACTGCGCTACGAACCCGGCGACCTCGGTTCGATTCTCGACCACAGCTTCCGTCAGTGGCGAGTGATATCAGAACCGGGCCTGTTCCTCTCCTCGGTCGACTCAGCCTTCAATGAGTACCCTGGTAGAGTGTGTAGACAACGTCCGCACTGGGGAGACAAAGGCGGCTGGGAGTGGTGCTTGCCACACCCCCCCCCCCCCCCCCCCGTTGTGTGCTGTCGTCCATAACGGGGCCCGCTAGCAGCACATGCCCATCTTTTAAAGGCTATACAAGGGATCTCTGTGTGCATAATAGTGTGTGTGTGCGCGCGCGAGTGTGGTGCAGTGTAGTGTGTGCACGCACATGTGAGAGTGCGGTGTGCGTGTGAGGTGAGCGAGGTTCTCTGCGTGCGTGTGTGCGTGCGTTTGTGCCTTCGTTAATACGTGCGTGTATTTTTGCACAGGTGAGCGAGCATTACCGACCGCAGTGTGCTGACTATTTTTTTATCGTTTTTTGTTTTGGATGTGGGGAAAGGTGGGGACAGTTCTGTCTTACGAGCCCCGACCCTCAAATCCGGTCCCCAATAAAAAAAAAAATGCGGGGCAACGCAAGGGGGTGCCGTCGCCATCGCCGGTTGGTGGCATTCGATCACGAACGGCTGCTGCGCACCGGCGCGGTTTACGCAAATCGCCGACGGTGTTATGTGCGAGCGTGAACGTGGACGCAGTGTTAACATTTTACGTTCGTCGGGCGGAGATCGCGTGTTTTTTTCGAGTCGACGTGCGAGGGGGAGGACGCGTGATGAGGAATGCAAAGGGGGGGGCGGTGGTGGGGCGTCCGCGTCGGAGAGTACGAGCGGCGATGCCGGACGACGGGCGTCGTACAGAAACGCCGCTTCGGTTGCACTTGAGTGGCGCAGCTTTGAGCAGGAGTTGGGTGAACTCCGCGTTGGGTGTCCCGTGACTCGCGGCGGCGGCTGCATTGATTTGGAACGTGACGGAAAACGGTCGGGTAAAGGATCGTCAGTCCGGCAATGTGATGTGGCGTATGAGCGGGCCCACGTCTCGTGGTGCTATACAGCCCACCGCGGGCTGATCAAGAAACCCGTAGACTCGCATGCAGACCTACGACTCGTAGGGATCCCAAGAATCAGACCCATAGACTGACACAAACAACCATAGACTTACATAGAGACCCATACATTTACATAGAAACCCTCAAGTGTGTATTTATGTAGTGTATAAATATCACCACCGTCTCAAGACACTGTACAATAACATGGGGCAATGTTATATTTATCGAGTTGATGGAGGCAGTCGGTCATAGGCAGCGGAATACGGGGAAGGTCTTGCGCCTTGACTTGAGCTGGGGCAAGGAAATCGACAGCACGAATGGCTGTGGGAATGGAGTTTAATACAATGAGAGTTGATTCTTAAGAGTTAATGAGGCGCGCATCAAAATCCAATGTTTACAATTCATTCGACGTATATGCAAACGGAGACCCTGCACGTCAACGGAGAGATATTGAGACAGCTGCGAGGCGGACACAACAAAGGAGTATTTTTAAACACGATGAACGCAAACCATGTCTGGACAGAATCGTAGCCCTGAATCGACGATGACGACGCACACCACTGTTAGGACTCCCACCAGAGCAGTTGTCCTGGGAAGCAGCGTGGACGTTGTTGCTCCCTTCTGATAAAGAGAGCGCCAATGCCCGTGCACACGCGTGCGCACACGCGTCGTCTGTTGAGTTGGCGAGGCCTTCCCCCTCGCTAACACTCGGGCTTTAAGGCGGTGACGGTGATGTGTCCCATCGGTCGTTACCAAAGTGTGGGAAAGTCTGGAACAAAAGTCACTCGGAAGGTACTCTGAGGTGGCTCTGTGGGATCTGCTTCTGTGGGCCATTGTTTAATGAATACTTAGTCCCATGAGGTACTATCATTGTCACAAGACTATTTCTGAGCTCTCCACTCATTTGTCCGGTTTTCATTCTCAAATACAAATGGAGAGCTGGAAATGCGACACGAGGGGGGAAAACCAAACTTGGCACGGACGGATTTTTTTTATTGTTAGCAGATCCACCTAACATCAGGTCGGTCCACGTAAACAACAGTATGCTCACAGAGGGCTGAGACCAGGATTCAAACCCAGGTTCGCGACGGTGCTTGTGTGGCACTCTGACACCCCCGTGCCCCCCCCGCCCCCCCTTCTTGCCCAGCTCGACGATCCGTAGGTGAGTGTGACGGTGCGTGCTAGCGCCAGTCTCAGTACCTGGGGGCGATCCGAACTCTCCGAACGGAGCGTGACCGCCTCTGACTTTTATCGCGTAAAATTCTGTCGCGGAGAATTTGAAGACTCGTTTATTTAAAAGGACACGCGTTGAAAAAAAAGCAGCTTTTGTAAGTGAATATATTTTTTCCCAATGCATTTCAATTGTTTAGAAATGTGCTTAATTACTTCGTTGTAAAGGCATTTGCTAAAATGGGACAGTCTATTTATCACTTGACTGACAAGGTGTCACCATCACCATTGACAAATGAAAAATGTTACACGAGCAGAAATAAAAAACAAACGTTTACCTGTGTCATTAACGCAGCCTTGCAATGGACTCAAACTGGATAAAGCGTTTTGACATGCAGCTTCATTCAAATGTTATACAAATAGAAATCGTATCAATTATTACACGTACAGGATATTGTAATTAAAGCGCCTCTGTTTGAGACCACGAATACAGCATTATTGGAGGGGTGGTGCCATCCCGTGGTTGACGGGGGCCCTGTACAATTTTTCTGCCTCTTCATCGTCTGGGCAGCTGTGGGCCCCTTCTGGCACGTGGGGGGTGCAGTTGTACGGCCCGCACACTGGGTAGCTTCAGTTTTTGTTGTTAAATAATAGATTGACGTTCCAGGCAGAGCAATAAGAGAGCGAGAGATAGAGCGAGAAAAGAGCACTCGTGATTATGATGACGATGGTGGTGGTGGCTTTATTTTCAGTCCGATTGCACTTGCATTCCAATGAGTTTTGTTTACCTTTTAACCTGTTCGCGCGTTAATAATTGTTATTTATGCTAGACTTTAAACCGGTTGAAGCTTTGAAAAGTAAAATGTTGATGGGGAGCAACAGAGGCTTTAGATGTGAAAGCCGAGAAAAATGCTCTACAGAGTGCAGTTTGCTCCTAAGCAGCTGTCTAATTTCTCACTCGGTATTTTTTCCGGAACGCTGCGAGGCTCCGAGTAGTTGCTTATAGGCATAAGGCACTACCACTACACCACCAAGACACGCCTCTCCATCATACTATATTGTTGTACCATGTGTTCCTATCATCCTGTGGAGACAGTAAGGTGAGATGGATGTGGCGTGCGACCATTTAAGCCGCGTTCCGGAATCTTCAGGCTGAGATTAGGCACCGCTTTTAAACCTCTGGTGTGTTTTTGTTGTTGTCGCCAATGTATACAACTTATATTACTTTTTTGCGCGCTTCGCGGTTCCACTTGATGACGGTTTGCTATGAATGTGTGCAATCCACAGCAAACAATAAAACAAACAAGCATCTTGTTTAAACGACACCGTGTTCATCATCTCCTTGCTGGCATTTCTCCCTCGTGGGCTCTTGCCATCTGTCCAGAGTCGTTTTGTGCGCGCATTCACTGACACGGCAACTTTCGCCCCCACATATTTTTTCATTTGTATCGCCGGTTTGGCTCAAACAGACGTTTGTTCAGTACACATAAATACACATGTTGCGTCTCGAAAAGTAAAATTAAATCCGATGATTGGATCTGTGGTACCATCAGTACCTGGTCTGGACCTCCCCGAGATCAACTTAGCCATAAATGGGTAGATGTGAGATGAGTAACTTGGTAGGGAATGTAGTGGTGGTGCGGTGGATAGGGCACTGCTATGAACTCGGCGACATTGGGTTTCAGAATCTTTATACTGGAGGAATCCGATGAGCTATGAAGCTCTTTCACAGATAGGTTTAATTCCCGGTCACAGGTAACATCAGTGGCGTGCGAAATCTGAAACGGTTCCAAATACCCCCAATTATGAACCCGATGGATAAAGTTCCGTGGCATATTATTATGATGATGATGGTAGCAAGTAGGCTTGTCAATAACTTTTGTTCTTATGCCATCACGAATTGCTCTGCCATGACTTGGCAACATCAAGACTCCCAACTGATGTTCTGTTCAAATCAGCGTCGAGGCGCCGTGGCTCATTTCTCGTTTATGGCCCCGTGGTGGAAATTCCACATTCCTATGGCGGGGGTGCGATGGTCCATCCTTAGGACAACCACTATTCACTTGTTTCATGGGCCGAGTCATCATCTAAACCATACACGGTAAACAAAACCACATGTTGACATTACATAATACAACAACAAAACTATTGACATTGGGATATAATCCTCTGCCCGCAACAGCGCTCTTGTCAGCAGTTCCAAATTCCGTTCGGCTCATCGTTCCGTTGACCCCCAGGTCGCGTCTGTTGCAGTGACACGGGAACGCCCCTGCACATCCGAGCGTGGATTTGCCGCTTGCAATGTTGCCTCCTAACGCGTGCGCCTGTGTTTGTCTTCGTATCTGCGAGTGTGACCATGCGGTTGTGCCCGTTGTTGTGACCGTGTGCACGCGTGTGACGTGTGGTTAGTGTGTCAATGTGTACGTCTTTGTGCGTCTGCGTGACTTTGTGTTTGAGTGGAGCCGGAGCTGTCTGTGCGTGGAGTTAACTGTGCCTGTGTAAGTCTGTGCATCTTTCGCTGTCTGTGCCTTTGTGTGTGTGTGGGGGGCTGTGCGGATGTTGCTGGGGAGCGGTAGTGTAGCGCTTAGCGCACTGCGCTACGAACCCGGCGAACCGAGTTCGATTCCCGCTCACGGCCAACACCAATAGTGACGATTATCTAAACCGGTCCTGGGCCTCCCCTAGGTCGACTCGGACTCAAATGAGTACCTGGGGTGGTGTGTAAACATCGCCACTGGGGAGACAAAGGCAGCCGGGCGTGGTGTTGGTCACCCACCCCCTCGTGCGCTGTGTCGGCTTTCATAGGTGCTGGTTAACAGCACTTGCCCCAATAGTCTGTTGAAGGCTATACGGGGGATTTTTTGTCTTTGTATGCTGGGGAGCGGTAGCGCAGTGGTTAGCGCACTGCACCGGCGACACGAGTTGAAGTCCAACATCAATGAACGGGTGCTAGGCCTCCACTAGGTCGACTCGGAATTAAATGAGTACCCGGGACGGTGTGTGTGAACGTCAGCAGTGGGGAGACAAAGGCGGCCGGGCTTGGTGCTGGCCACCCACCCCCTCGTTTGCCGTGCCGACCTTCATAAGTGCTCCTCGCGAACAGCACTTGCCCCCAAGAGCCTGTTCAAGGCTATACGGAGTGTCTTTGTATGTGTGCGTGGTTCTGTGCGTGCGCGCGTTTGTGACTCGGCCCCTCTGTCCACGTTGTGTGTCAATCGCCCAGCTGATAGCGCGCTAAGTTGACCGCATCCTACCAAACGCAGCTGTTTTTAGCCGCAAAAGCTTGCAGCGTCTCCTCTTTTTGTGTCACGTTCGCAATCTCTGCTGCAGTCATCGGTGTCATGGATCCAATCGAGAGACGGATCGTCAACGCGTACCCAAACCCGCTGCCGTACAGGTGAGAGAGCACGCGGTCGGCCAAACCTTGATCGGCTCCTTATCAAGGAGCTGCTTTCGTGTCGTCATTTATTAAGGGCTCGCCGTCTCGTATTCACCAGCACGGTGCAATTGCGGCTCTTGAAATGCAGGGTGCTTCACAAAATTTGTTTTTAACACTTATACGGGACTAACGTTTTTCATGGGAAAAGAACGGATAATACTACGCTGTAACATGGTAACGAATGTATGTTAGTAGTTTCAAAAAGTCAATGAGTCTCTACTTGTTTGCCATCGTTGTCAACGCGTGCCTGGAATTTTCTCCAGGTGGTCTCCAGAGGCGCATTTCCCGTGGCGTTGTTGCAAATTCTCAGAAGTGTTAACGTGTTTTTCGTAGCACCCTGTATTTCACCGAATTATAAATAAGTGGCTCTTCTTCTTGTCGTTTTTTTGTTGCCGACCTCTGGATGAGAGCAGTGGTCATTCACCTCCATCGCAATAGAATAACGCCGCGGTGTACGTCTCCATCTTTTCACGTCGTTTCGCAGATACGTCGTCCCTCTTATTATTAACAACACCGCGGCCCGATTTAACGTCGCGTCAACCCCCACACGCTCACGTCGCTGCCAGCATCGTCACCGTCCGTGCCTTCTCCTTACCCGTCGCCTTTCAGCCCACACCACCCACCTGCCACTCCACCCGTTCTATTGCCGTGAAGGGGTGAACCCCATTCTTGTTTTTCTTGATTCTTTCGGTAAAGTCACGTAGAAGGGAAATAATAAAATAATATAAATATAAGACAATCAAAATTCTCACGACGTTTCGACTGCAACACAAGCAATCATGATCAGGTGTGAAATCCACAGCAAGAAAATTTGAAATTTTGAAACTTTTCAGAAAATTTGAAAAAAAAAATTCTGAAAAGTGGCCTAGACAATGGGAGCAGCAGAGGAGAAGGAGCGGTGGCAAATGCGTGGTTGTGCTCCCCCCTCCTACCCCACCCCCTAACGACAGCCAGGCGGTGCAGGCCGGCCGCACGCTCTACGTGTCCGGCCAGGTCGGGTTGGAGCCCGGCTCGGGGTTGTTGGTCCAAGGCGGGACGGGCGCACAAACTCGGCAGGTGCGTCACGTGCGTGCGTCACGTGCCTTCGTGTCTGCTTGTACGCGGTGCCCACCGTCGTGATATGATCGCCCAACATCTGCGTTGATGTTTCCGTAACTACATTTTACAATTTTAATGGATATATATTTTATTTTTTTAAGTAATTTGAGGCGGCTCGGAGGTCAGCGCCGCTGAGAACCTGGGTTCGACTCCAGGTTCTCCGCTGAGCCCGTGGTCAAACCGGGATGTCAAGCGAAGCGGCGAGTTTGGCGATCGATGTTCTCGGCCCGGTCATCACTGACTGCACAAAAACTACAATTGGGTTTTGCAGGATGTGGCGAAATCCCACCCCGGTGAGCATTAGGGCTCTCCCCGTTCGAGTGGCGTGCGCCGAAGATGTTACTCACTGCATCAGGGTGCATGGAAATATATGTGGATGTTCAAACTTCTTCCGCACCGCACGTAGCGTCACCGTGATAATCGGAGGTGCTGCCCCCTCGTGTGGATAGAAGGTCACTTGTGAGGTGGTCTCAGAAGTAGTTCTGTAATTTCTAGTTCTGCGGGCAGCTCTGTCTAACCTGAATGGATTCCTCCGTCCGGTGGCGCCAAGGGCACCCTCCTGGGAAAACGCACCATCAACAGATAACAACACAATGACATGTTTACTTAATTACACCTTTAGTCCTTACTGGACATCTGTGGAAAGAGCTTCGTAGCTCATCGGATTCCTCCTGCTGCAGTCTGAAAAAGGATTCTGAATTTGTAGCGGGTGGCGCACTGCACTACTAGCCCGGCCACCCGAGTTCGATACCGTCTCACGGCCAACACCAGGGGCGATTATCTGCGCCGGCCCCTGGGCACCCCCTAGGTAGACTCAGCCTCAAGTGACCGTCTGGTGCGACGTGTAAACATCGCCACGTGGGAGACAAAGGAGGTCGGGCGTGGTTGCTGGCGACCCACCGCTCTCGTTTTCCGTGACGGCCTTAATAGGCACTCGTCGACAGCACTTGCCCCGACGGTCCGTCAAGGCTATACGGGGGATCTGTATCTTTGTCTTTGTGTGTGACGTGTGCGACGTGTGTGACGTGTGTGACGTGCGCAGGCATTGAAGAACATCGGGATGATCCTTAAAGGCGCAAATTGCGACTACAAAAACGGTGACCACGTGTGCGGCCTGTGTGACACGTGTGATCACGTGTGTGACGTGTGTGATCACGTGTGTTACGTGTGTGATCACGTGTGTGACGTGTGTGACCACGTGTGTGACCACGTGTGATCACGTGTGTGATCACGTGTGCGGCTACGTGCAGTCCCGTTTGCACCCCGAGTCGTGAGTCGAGCGGCCATGGCTACGCCGCTGCACGTGGCTACGCCGCTGCACGTGGCTACGCCGCTGCACGTGGCTACGCCGCTGCACGTGGCTACGCCGCTGCACGTGGCTACGCCGCTGCACGTGGCTGCTGTTCGTAACCCAGCCCCCGTGGAGGCAGCGGCGAGGGGTTGATGGACCACCGGTGCAGTGCCATGGCCCCCCACGGGGGGGTAGAGCGGCGGTCTTCATCGCAAGGCCGCGGGCCACTGGGGGCCCTTGGTGGCCTTTAATGCGGCCCCCCCGACAATACACAAAATAAAGTGATCACCCTCCACCATCATCATCATCTTCGTCGTGCTGCTGTCAAACCCCCAATTGATTCAAATGTGTGGCGGCCCTCACACTGATGATGCCTTGTCGGTGAAAGCTCCCCACCCCCCCTACCACCTCGTCTGAAAATAATGAAGAACACCGGGATTGAGTGTTGTCCCCTCGCACGCATGGATTTTTCTCCGGGTCCCCCGGTTTTCCCCTCCACATTTACAAACACGCGTTCAAGAGTATTTGGCTGCTATACATTTCCACGTGATGGGCCACTTCGTTGATCTACCATTTGTGGCCAGGTCGCTTCTGATGAAGAGCTCAGTGGGGCTGACTTGGTTTAAAAAAAAAGTTTTTTAATCGATTATAGAAATCACACCACGAGACAAAAAGAGGAACACCTGCATGAGAGAGCAGACTCGGGCTGGGCCAGGGCTCGTCACGGCTAGATCTGTGGAAGGGGGGGAGGGGGGGTCGAGACTCACGATGGAATGGCAGCCAGAGGGAGTGGAACGAACCCGAGAGAGGGCTGTCCGACGCGGAGATGGAGCGACGCAAACGGCTCGCGTGCGGGAGCCGGAACGGGTCCGCGCGAGTCGGCGACGGCTCGGGGAAGCTTTCAGTCCAGCAGTGGATAGGGAACGTCTGCCGCCGCTGATAAACCTTTGATGACGCTTCTCGTTTGCAGTGGTCAAGACCACCGTGCTGCTCGCCGACATGAAGGACTTCTCCGCCGTCAATGAAGTCTACGCCGAGTGTGAGTGGCAGCGAGCCTGCGTCAGAGGTCGCAACCGGGTACCCGATACCCATACCCTACCCGATACCCGGCTACCCGTACCCGGCCGGGTATGGGTAGCCGTTTGCGACCCTGGTGCGGCCGGGTACGGGTACGGGTAGGCCGTGAGTCACTGGTGAGTAACTGTTTGTCACTCATTTCGGGTAGGGTACGGGTAGGGAACGGGTACCCGTACCCGGCCGGGTACGGGTACCCGTTTGCGACCCTGGTGCGGCCGGGTACGGGTAAGGAATCAAAACCCGTTTGCGACCTCTGGCCTGCGTGGCTGGACTCGACTTTGTTTATATCGAAGGGGCGAGATGTTAACTGCCTCGCCTGGTCTGCAGGAGGTCGGGGGTTCGATTCCAACCCTGACGCCTGCTGCTGCTGTATATTTAGAGTTTGCGGTGTGTCTCTCGCCGTGGTTGCGTGGATTTTTTGTTCTCCGGCTCCAAACTTAGACACATGCATCTATATTACCCATAATAGAGGTTTTTGGGTTAGATCGCGTAAATATAAATGTGTCGTTAAACCCGCCACCACCCGACACAGCCAATCCCGTGCGAGGGGTGTAGCGGTGTTGCAAGTTGACGTTATTACTGATTGTTGTTGTTACAGGGTGGGCAGCAGGGGCATTGCATCAAAATCACTTGTTGTACTGTACTATCCTCCCGCGTCCATGCTCCCCGCCGCCTTCAGCGACCGGTGCGAGGTCTGGTCAAACGACTCATCCGGCAGTGGAGTGACACGGCGGCTGTCTGCGTGAACGTGTCGTTCGTGATGGAGTTAATCTCTCTCCCTTTCTCTCTCCCCCGCCGCCGTGTGTGATCATGTCCGCAGTTTTCTCATCCAGATTCCCAGCCCGGGCTGCCTATCAAGTGATGGCGCTGCCCCGGGTACGTTGACAATGATGAGATACGACGTAGCTGGGCAGGCAAACACATTGTCCTGCGGAGGGAGCTGGTAGGAACGTTGGGTTGCTCGGTCAATGGCCAGGGTCAACGGCGGCGTGGTGTATTCCACAAATATGCCCGACTGAGGGCGGGCACAAGCCGGCGTGAGTAGGTTAAACGTTGAGTTTTATAAGGGCACCACGGGGTGACCAGCCCCTCCCCACCCAGCCCCACCCCACCCAGCCCCTCCCCACCCTCCCCTCTCCACCCAGCCCCACCCCTCCCATTTTTGGATGCACGACGGACGGACGGACACAATAACCCCCTGTGGGCTGGTGGAACCAGGTGGTTCCTACCAGTATATTGGCTGCGTCATATACACAATGCCCCGTGGCTCACCCAAAAAGTACTTTTCTTACACAATCCTTCGGCCCGACTGCCTTCAGCGATTGCGTAGTTTCAGCGGCGGCGTCGATTCAGCGCACGCAAACCGTGGACCGGGTTTTGACGCACGACGACTCATCAGCAGTGCCAGGCTTGCTTGAACGTGTCCTCATCCGTGTTCGTACAACAACAGCGTGGAGTTACAGCGCTCATAGCCTCGTCTCTCGGCGCTGTGTACAGCCGGAGATGTTTATTGTGTGTTCAGTTGTAGGCCTCTTTGTGAGTCTGTGGGTCTCGATGTGAGTCTATGGATATGTGTGTGAGTCTATTGGTCTCTGTGTGAGTCTATGATGGGTCGCTATGTGAGTCTATGGGTCTGTCTCTGTGAATGTATGGATATGTGTGTGAGTCTATTGGTCTCTGTGTGAGTCTATGCATCTGTATGTGAGCCTATGGGTCTGTCTCTTTGTGAGTCTATGGGTTTCTGTGAGTCTACAGGTATGTACGTGAGTCTCTGGGTCTCTTCGTCTATACAATGCAATGTGGATTTGTGTACCGTAGTGTCTAAATGCGACCTCATCTCAAATGAAATGACGCTGGGCTGACGCTGTTTGCGCTGTGCAGGGAGCGAGTGTGGAAATTGAGGCAGTGGCCGTGTTGGGACCCATCTCAGAAGCCTAAACAGCAACAACATCAACAACAACAACAGCAGCAACAACAACAACAGCAGCAACAACAACACGTATATTTTAATGAAATCTCCAAGCCTGTACAGTCTGATTGTATCAATCAACCCGTGTCATCTGCGAGAGCCAATTATGAGTCATTATCGCGCTTGCATGGGCTTTAGCATAATTACCCCGGGATCACGATGTGCTCTCACCAGTTGTGATTAAACTGCCGACGATGTCGTCCTGAGAGTGGCTGATGGAACATTTCTGTGGCCTGGCGAATAAAAGCAACGAGTGGACGGGGACGAGGGCTCTGCTGTTTCTCCATGAGAGTTTTTTTTTTGGGTTAAATCGCGTAAATATATAAATGTGTCGTTAAAACCCGCCACTACCCGACACAGCCAACTAGTAAGGGTTGTCACGTAAACAGAACGTGCCAATTCGTCACTAGTACAGCACACCAGATCGGGCTGTCGCCTGATGAAGCTAGTTGTATTTACTGCGAGTGATTATGTAATGACGACGACGACGATCCTCTCTGCTGTGACAAGACACCTCGCTTTGGTGCCACATTAGCCCAGGAACAAATGTAACTTCGACTGATGTAACTTCTCCTGCAATTTGCTTCTATTCCGACCCCCAGCCGTGGAGCTAGACACCTTCGTAGCTTCAATAAAACGGGCCTCCGTCCGTGCCACGATGTGCGATGGAAATGAGACTTTGACAAAACACTCATGACAATCTTCTTGGTTCTTTCGGTAAAGTCACGTAGAATAAAAATAATAAAATAATAAAAATAAAACATTATATTCTTATATTTTTTTATTATCTTCTATTATTATATTCTTTTATTCTATTCTATTATTTTATTATTTTTATTATGTTTTATTATTTTATTTTTTCCCTTCTACGTGACTTTACCGAAAGAACCAAGAAGATGAATCCCTGCAGTCACGAAAGCTTTAAATCAAAACTCATGACAATTTGTACTTTTCAGTGCATCCGTAAGCCGCCGCGTGATGCTGAGAAAATATCCCAAAGGCCAAATGTTTGTTATCCCCCAAACCCCGCGCGCGCATGTGAGAGTGTGCAATGTTGTATCAGCTCAGTACAAATGTATTGACGGCGGGGGGTGATTCGGAGGTGTTACTTTAGGGGTATTCTTCCTAGAGAGTCTAGAGTTTTTGGTGTCGACACGAGCTGTTGCGTGTCGCAATGCAATGAAATCTAAACAGATTGTCCGGGCCTGCTGAAGACACGCGTACACACACACACACACTCTGATATATCGCCTAATGCGTTAAAATCTCAACTCTTAATTTCCGATCAACCACGACCTATTAATAACGATCGCCATTTAAGTTAAATTGAAGTCATATCATAAAACAATATATTTTTTTCTTATTTTTAAAACCGCGCGACGTACGTTCGTACGGGTGCCAATCGCGGCACCGTCAGCGGACTGACTTCTCGCGAGAACGATTCCAGATCATTTCCCCGGGGGCCTCCGCTTGGGTTCCCAATCCCACCAGAGCGGTCATTCGGAGAAGGTTCCCCGCTTACATTTTGAGCGTCGACCCTCACACCACCGCACCTCACGCGGCGAGGCAGCGGGGACAACGCCGTCCCGTAGCCACGCACACGCCACCCAAACAAATCAAATCAACAATCGGCGATTTGGCCAAACGTCTCGGGGCAGGACCCTCCCGAAAGCGGTTTTGAGACCCGATGAGGCTTTCCCTTGTGAAGTCAAGAGGTCGTCTCGGCCAGTTGTCATCGGCGCGAGGACTCCCCGCATCGGTCACTTCCCACAGCTGACCTCCAAAGTTTGACCTCCTAGTCTCATGCATGACCACCACCAGCGTCTGGCTTTAGATCTTCCCGACCCCTGGGTAGCTGACCTCTGGGTGCCACTCCAGTGTCCAATCTCGGTAGACTACTCTCGAAAGACAAAGATCTCCCGTATAGCCTTAACATACTGTTGGGACAAGTGCTGTTAGCGAGCACCTATGAAGGCCGGCACGGCACACGAGATGATTGGTTGCCAACACCAAGCCCGGCCGCCTTTGACTCCCTAGTAGCGATGTTTACACACAGCACCAGGTACTAACTTGAGGCTGAGTCAACCTTGGGGAAGGACCCAGAACGAGTTCAGATAATCGTCACCGGTGTTGGCCGTGAGCGGCAATCGAACTCGGGTCGCCGGGTTCGCAGCGCAGCGCGCTAACCGCTCCACCACCGCTCGCCTCGCTTTCCCTGGTCTCCTCCACCCTGCACGCATGTCCCATCCATCACAACCTCCTCATCCTCCTCGTGATTACATCTACGACGCTGTGGTGCCACCACCTATTCGCCGCCTCCAAGCTGATGACCCTATCCTCCACCCTGGACACGTGCCCCATCCATCCATCACAACCTCCTCCTGATTACGTCCGTGGAACTTTCTTGCTACGTTCTGTTCCCAAAGTTTGCCCTACTATATCGTCCGAGCGTCCTCCACATAGATGGACATGATTATACTTGGACATCTATCGTTGGCGTGAGTTGGACGGCCGTTGCGTGCAGACAAAAAGAACCCCATACGTACACGTGTGAGTTAATGGTCAGGATTAAGTTTGAAAAATAACAATAATAGCCATCTACAGTCCTTTATAAATCCACTGCTGGATGAAGACCCTTGTTCCGAATCTTTCGGCCATGGGGGTTGTTTGACCATACTTCACCACACTGGTCACTGCGGGTTTGGGAAGTGGGGAGCCTAGAACTAGCACCGATGTCACTTACCATTGACGTTATCTTTGGAACAGGAATCAAACTCATGTGGCCGGGTTCATAGTGCAGTGCACTAACCACGGCGCCACCACTCCCCCAGATCGTTGGTTAAACTGACCAGCAGTTAAGATGCAGGGAGAGCACCCGATTTAAAAACTCAACTGGGAAAAGTAGTTTGAAAAATTGCATTCATATTACTATACTATCGATACGAATGGCTCATTACTTCTATCAGAAATGTTACATTTCATTCACTGGCATTTCACTTAAAGCTTTTGGCTGTTAGGCCTCTAAGAATTGCATTATGGGAGACTTGGATGCGTTTCGCCTTCATAAAATCTGGCCACGGTGGCGAAATGTTCACTACCTCGCCTGGTATTCAGGAGGTCGGGGGTTCGATCCCCACCCTGACTTCTCTCTCCCCGTGGTAGCGTGGTTTCTCTACAGTGTCCATCCGATTTTTGCCCTCTAAATGATTGAGAATCAACATCACGCGTTGAGAGTATTTGGCTGCTATAAATGTTCACGTGGTAAGCCCTCTGTGTCGGGCTGTCAATTTGTGGCAGCCAGGCTGCTTAGCTCAGTCGGGGCCTTACCTGGTAAAATAAGCGAGAGTTTAATGCACGCAATCTCGTCGGGGTTTTTTCCCTCCCTGCTTAATGCGTGGATTGGCGAACACCATGCATAACGGGTGCTATAGGCTTGCTGGGGGGGGGGGCTACATTGTGGGCAGCGGGAAAAAAAAATTCTGGCCTGGACTTTTGCAGCTGTTTTAGACTAATTTTAGGGTGCTGATTCCAAATCTGATCTCAGATTTGCTCTATCACATCTCATTTTTATGCTATCGGCATACCCCATTTTCATAGATTTTACCAGAAATTAACTCTGTCACTTATGATTGCAAGTTGTTGCGAGTCAGTGACTGCTTTAGTGTTATAATATGGTGCTGTATTTTTAGGATAGTGTGTTTATAATATCATTTTATGTAGATATCCACATTTATTGAATATTTTTCTTCTGCAGTTTTAATTGAAAATGCTATATTTGATAGACAAAAACTGATGCCAAATTTGGAATCAGCACCCCAAAATTACATTAAAACCGTTGGAATACCTTATGCCAGAAAAAATGTGTTGACCAGTGAAATCGATTGTTGTACTGTAGCATGCTCCAACATCTGCGCTCCCACGCCTTCAACCCCCAGAGACCAGTGTGGTGAAGTATGGTCATGCAGCCCCCACGACCCGGCACGGCGTGGGGGGATGCCCTCATCCAGCAGTGGATTGACATACCAGCATACCTGTCAACCCACACGGTTCACCCCGTGTTCTTGTACAGGAAAATTGAGTATTTCAGGGCCATACGGTGTACAGCCGTTTCAATACAGGCAAAAAAATAATGTATTTGTTTGTAACTTGATTTGAATCTTTCGTGACTGCAGGAATTACTCGTTGGTTCTTTTGGTAAGGTCACGTAGAAAGAAAATAAATTTAATAATAGAGTACGACGTTTCGATTGCAACACAAGCAACCATCATCAGGTAGAACTACATTTGAGAGAAATGTGTTTGTGTTTCTCCCTCGTGATGGAACTTTGTAGGATGAACGTTGAGATGTATAAGGCACACGGGGTGACCAATACGGTCTGAATTGGTCTCTAACAAGGTAGGGCGCTGACAAGGGGTTGACAGGGATGTACCAGACTGTACGCGTTTCGTTAAAGCATCTGCCCACTCACCCATTCCTCAACGCCACACGCGGAGTCACTGCCGATGGGATGACGAGGACGACTTCACATGAAATCCACATCGCGGAGTAACTGCCCGCACGTAGACTACGGTCACTCATGGCGAGCGTTCAGTATAAATGGAACACGCGAACACACAAACACACACTGCGTGTACAACCCGCAATTTACACTCACTGGCGTTCCAATGACGAATGTTAACAATAATCATAATTTCAACTTGGAACGCGCCAAATGCTACCTCCCCCCCCACACCGTCCGTCCCTCCAAGCTCTGCGGTCCTCTATGTATGAAGTTGTTACTTGGCCAATTGTTGAATGCTTGTGTGTAGGAGGAAACGGAAGCGCTGATGTTGGTCGCGAAAGCCGACGTGTTAAACTAAGTGCTGTTTTATTTCGCTAAAACGGTTAGGATAATTAACTACGACATTTTTTTATTCCCCGGTGCAAGATTCTAAATTCGTCCTCCCCCAGCCGCCGCCGTACCCACACCGATTCCACGATTCGCATTCTAATTCTATTCAAGGCGATGCGCATTTCGAGTTGGGGCCACGTGACATAGATCTGGCCAAATGTGTGTCGTGTAACCCTCCTCCTCCTCCTGCTGCTCCTGCGCCATTGCCACGTGACGGAGCCAAACGAATCGAATCGCCGCGCTCCCCGCAACGTCAGCGACCTTGTGACGCGACGAGCGACAAAAGGAGGCGAAGGTTGGTGGGGTGCACGTGGCAAACACCGTCAAATCGCAGACGGTTCGTGCCAACGAGCGTTAAAAAAAAATAAAAGCGACGTGATCTCCTAACTCGTGATTGGAAACGCAGTGGGTGTCCGTTGCGGGCAGCGATGCGGTGTCATGCCCGGCCTTCGCTTCCTTCCCCGTGTCCAGCGCCGCTCGACGTCATCCTATTCAGCGTCCGGTGCCGATGGGGCTGTGGTGGTGGACAGAAAAAGGGGGGGGGGAACAAACATACGACGAATTTGTTATTATTGATTGATTTATTCATTTTATTGTTTGTCTTACCGAGGAAGCTTTCGCGGTTGTTGCTGTACAGACGTTCGCTGCGTTTTCGGGCGGTACCGTGTATCAGTTAGACACGGTGTCCGACGTTTCGTTCCACATTTCAGAAGCTTTTTCAGGAGGTGGCTCACTTCAGTCCCTGGAGGAAGCTGTCAGCGCGTAAATTCGGTAACAACCCGGATACACATAGCCGCACCTCCTATGAGCAAGGCTGGCTACGTACGGTGCAAAGGAAGTTCAACATACATACATAGCTGTGGCGCGTTATCGAACTTGAACTCAGGTGGCCGGGTGCGTGGCGCAGTGTGTGCATAGCCACGCGTAAGTACAAATACAAAGCTCCCCCAAGGAGCCATGCGCACTGTTGGGGACAAGTGCTGTTGGTGAGCACCGATGGGAACACGCACTGGGCACGTGACCTCTTCAGGGATTAGAGACCCCTCGTCTCTCTAACCCCCCCCGCCCCCAGGTCCGCGCGTGGCCCTGAAGTGCCATCGCTGGGATGATAGCGACTCCTCTACCTATGAACATTCGACTTACGAACTTTCAGAGATACGAACAAACCTGGTCCGTGTCTCCAGTTGCCTGTTGGGACCGAGAGGCGTAAGTTCAACCGCCGTCAATGGATTGCGGTGGTGGCATCTACATCTACACAACGTGAACACCAGTGGCATCTACATCTGCAGAACGTGAACACCAGTGGCATCTACATCTGCAGAACGTGAACAACCAGTGGCATCTACATCTGCAGAGCGTGAACAACCAGTGGCATCTACATCTGCAGAACGTGAACAACCAGTGGCATCTACATCTGCAGAACGTGAACACCAGTGGCGTCTACATCTGCAGAACGTGAACAACCAGTGGCATCTACATCTGCAGAACGTGAACAACCAGTGGCATCTACATCTGCAGAACGTGAACAACCAGTGGCATCTACATCTGCAGAACGTGAACAACCAGTGGCATCTACATCTGCAGAACGTGAACAACCAGTGGCATCTACATCTGCAGAACGTGAACAACCAGTGGCATCTACATCTGCAGAACGTGAACAACCAGTGGCATCTACATCTGCAGAACGTGAACAACCAGTGGCATCTACATCTGCAGAGCGTGAACAACCAGTGGCATCTACATCTGCAGAACGTGAAGAACCAGTGGCATCTGCATCTGCAGAACGTGAAAAACCAGTGGCATCTACATCTGCAGAACGTGAACACCAGTGGCGTCTACATCTGCAGAACGTGAACACCAGTGGCGTCTACATATGCAAAGCGTGAATAACCAGTGGCATCTACATCTGCAGAACGTGAAGAACCAGTGGCATCTGCATCTGCAGAGCGTGAACAACCAGTGGCATCTACATCTGCAGAGCGTGAAGAACCAGTGGCATCTACATCTGCAGAACGTGAACAACCAGTGGCATCTACATCTGCAGAACGTGAAGAACCAGTGGCATCTGCATCTGCAGAGCGTGAAGAACCAGTGGCATCTACATTTGCAGAACGTGCGGAGTAGAGTGAGATGAGAGGGGAGAGCTAGTACAAGCGTCTGGTTCTCTAGCTGGTTCGGGTTAAGGGTGTCGCGAGTTCCAGTGTGTGGTTGGTTAGGGGTTGGCCTAGAAGTGTCCCGTTACCAAAGTTGTTTCGGGCCAAGGGATAGAGCTGGCACGCGTGCGTGCGGTTGCCTCGGCGGGTCGGGCGAGAGTGTAGTTCTCGCTCCGTGTAGCTCAGTGTCGCGAACTGCTTCCCCCACCACCACCGCCGCCACGGACACGGCTCATCTCCCTGTCGCCCTCTGCCCGCTCCGTTTCGTTCCGCCGAATCGAAGCGCGCGTGGCGACTCCTCGTGGTGGCGGCGGTGGTGGTGGCGGGGGGGGGGGGGTCGAGGGGGGGTCGTGACTGCGCGCTCGCGTCGCGTGTCGGGTTACCCCCTCGGCGTCGTCGTCCCCCCACCACCACGGCCACCCCCCCACCACCCCCCCACCACCACGGCCACCCCCACCACCACCCCCACCACCACGGCCACCCCCACCACCCCCACCACCACGGCCACCACCCCCCCACCACCACCCCCACCACCACGGCCACCCCCACCACCACCCCCACGGCCACCCGGGTCCGATGTCACCGCGTGCCGCGACGTCTGTCACCGTGGCGGGGTTGAGTCTCCCCCCCTCCCGCCCTCCCCCCGTGGTGGTTGTTGAGTTTGGTAGTGGTTGTTGAGTTTGGTGGTGGTGGTGTTGGTTGTTGAGTTTGGTGGTGGTGGTTGTTGAGTTTGGTGGTGTTGGTTGTTGAGTTTTGGTGGTGGTGGTTTTGGTTGTTGAGGTTTGGTGGTGGTGGTGGTGTTGGTTGTTGAGTTTGGTGGTGGTGGTGGCGGCGGCTGACGAGTCGCCCGGAATACGCCGTCGATTCTCGGCTTTGCAACTTTCGCAGACTCGGCGAGAGTTGAGCGGGACCGGCCGGCGTGGTTGGTCGATGTAGTGGTGATGGTGATGATGATGGTGATGATGATGGTGGTGATGTAGTAATAGTCATAATGGTGATGATGATACAACGGAGAAGACGACGAAGAATAATAGTTGACACTTCTAAAGCGCCTTTCACGCGGAGGTCACGAGGCGCTGTGTGAAACACACGACAAAGACAAAGACTCCACCCCGTGTAGCCTGTAACAGGCTGCAGGGGCAAGTGAAGTCCGGAACGGTACACGAGGGGGTGGGTGGCCAGCAGCACCACGCCCGGCCGCCTTTGTCTCCCCAGAGGCGATGTTTACACACCGCACCTGGTATTCATTTGAGGCAGAGTCAACCTAGGGGAGGCCCAGAACCGGTTCAGATAATTGTCACTGGTGATGGCCGTGAGCAGGAATCGATCTGAGGCCACCGGGTTTGTAGCGCTAACCGCTGCACCACCGCTCCCCACCTCCGACACACAGACACGCAAGCTCCCACCAAATCAGATCCAACCCCAACAATAAACGATTCAGGAAATCATTTTTAAAAATCCTTTAAAGCGAAGTCGCGTCTTTGGGCGCGATTTCAATGAAGCGGATCGAACGTCCAGTGGACGTGAATTCCATAGCGTGGGTGTCACCACCACCCATCGTCCTACAGAGACGCGACCTCGACACACACACAGAGGGCTCGACTCAGAGGTTCGCAGTTCCCTGGCAGGAGCGCGTGCACGAGGTTCACATAAAGCACCTTCACGTGTCGTGTGCATTGCCCATCACGACTTTAAATTTAGATTTAAAGCTTTCGTGACTGCAAGGATTCATCTTCTTGGTTCTTTCGGTAAAGTCACGTAGAAGGTAAATAATAAAATAATAAAAATAAAACATAAAATAATTCTCACGACGTTTCGGCCACAACGCAAGCAGCCGTCCTCAGGTGAAGACCAGGTCTGTCAGACGACGTTTCGGGGAGACAGCGTCTGAATTCAGACGCTGTCTCCCCGAGACAGATAATTATTTTATTATGTTTTATTTTTATCATTTTATTATTTCCCTTCTACGTGACTTTACTGAAAGAACCAAGAAGATGACATCACGACTTTGTTATTTATTTGTACTGAGCTTCGTCTCGTTTATTTTGTGTCCGTCCCGTCCGTACCGTGACGCCCGTCTCGCCATCGTCTGTACTGCGCGCTTCGTTTGCTCCGTCTCGTTTGTCCCGACCGTTGTTCAAAAGCGACCGCGTTTGCATGCGATTCGCGTCGACCCAACATGATTCCACACGCGGGTTTTGCTCGGTGGAGGAATCACACCGCGAGAGGAAGCCTTCATAATAAATCACAATAAGTTTAACACATGTAGGCTTTCGCGACCAATATTATTCATAATAAACGTTTTTTGGGTTAGATCGCGTTATTTATAAATGTGTCGTAGCCCTCCCACCACTCGACACGGCCAATCAGCAAAAAAGTGTCACGTTGACAAAAGACATAGTTCACTGCTTTAGCCCACCGGTGTGTTGAAGAGTGAATCCACAACATTGACAATTTTTGAGTAGTGCGACGTTTCGCTGGTAAATACATCCAGCATCATCGGGCAATTCGCCAGAATCGTGAAGCCCTCACTTGCTCCCCTTCATCCAGCAGTGGATTGGCCACGCCTGCTGATGGCGATGATGATAGATTTGACAACACACACACAGTCACCATTCAATGCACGCACCGCACGCGTGATAATCTATTTGTTTCCACAGAATCATCGCCTACCTCCCCAACTCGTATCGACAAAGGCGGGGTGGTGGACCCCCTCCTCCCTCCCCCTCCGTTCCCCCGCTTGCACCCCCTCCCTCCGCAATGCCCCCCGCAGAGACCAAGTAATTGAATTAATTTAAGGCGTCTGCGGGGGTATTGAGGCACGTTGTGACTTGCCCAGGGACAACTTATGTTCTACCACCGTCTGTGGGCTTAGCGGGGGGATTGCGAATGCAATACCCAATGTTCCACTTAGTGGGTGGCGTGCCCACAGCGCGTCTTGTTTTATGGATAAACTGCCCCCTATCCCCCCCCCCGGCCATAGCAATGTGGAATTTCCTCCAGGTGAGCGCTCGTTTTGAGTAGGGAGCATACTTTCGAAATGTGTTACTCTAGCTCATTGCTTCGGTTAGCCACCACCGCCAGCACCATCAGCCATGGTCAATCCACTGCTGGATGAATAAGACCTCCCCTACTGGACGCTGCGACGTAACAGTGCGCCCAGCTGCTTGCACGCGAGCTGATTGTATCGCTCCATCTCCTCGGTCCCCGCAGTGTCGGTGGAGTCAAGCTGCAGAGTCAACTGGGTGAACAACGACCTCGCCTGGGACGCAGAAGGTCGTCGGTTCGATCCCGGCCCTGTTGTATATTTGGAATCTGCGTGTCGCTCTCTCTCCCCGTGGTCGCGTGGGGTTTTCCCCGGGTCCTCTGGTTTTCCCCTCCGCATTTAGAATCAACATCATCACGCGTTTTTAGAGTATTTGGCTCCGATGAATTTCTACGTGACAAGCCACTTCGTTGAGCTATCATTTGTGATCGCCAAGTAAGTATAGTAGCTCAGTGGAACTTACCTGGTAAAATAAAAAAATAGTTTAAGAATATAATGAATTGAAGACGGCAATTCAGAGGGATAAACTGGAATGCGGTTGGCATCGGGGAAGGTGAGACAAAGCGAGAACTCTGAAGAGTGGCAACATTCTCGACCGCCGAGGGGCGAGAGTTAGCGGCAATTGTGGCGCAGTCGGAATCTTCGTCTGCTCACAAATGAGAGGCGAAGTGAGCTACGTAGCTGGCACGTGTCTCTCTCTCTCTGCCTGACCGCGTCCTTTCTCAATGCCGTCGGAAATCGAGGTATTCCCCGCACCACGCAGCTCTCTGTTCGTGATAGTTACCCAAGACCAGTGCATCGGATGTTCCCCAGTTTCGTCCGGATTGTACACATTGCCCATGCAACTCGATTCGCTGTCCTCCACGGCTTCCTGTGGTAACCTCTAATGTCTCCAGTCGAAAGATAATTCACATTCAGTCTCTTATTGTCTCCTGACACGGCCAAGAAATCAAACTTCTCATTTCACGAATTATTTAAAAAATGTGTTTCTATCTATAGAATGAATAACCACTGACCCACACTGATCGCCTTGGTGAAGTATGGTCAAATAACCGCGCCACGAATCTGCGTGTGCTTGTGGGAGGCTCTCATCCAGCAGTGGATTGCCCTAAGAGCTGAGACGCGTCCGGTGGAGGTTATTGAATCGGCACCGTGGCGCTTGAACCATCGACAACCCGCGGTGTTTGAAACGGATGCTTAGCAGAGGCCGCATTCTTTCAGCCGTAAATCCCAGCGACCGGTTGCTGGGATACTACGTGGCAACAGAAGTAACCCGATGCTGAAAAACTATCTGTAAATGACTCAGCTCGGATTAGGCTGCTAAACTATGAACAACAAAAAAACTATGAACTTAACGATGTTTTATTTTTTGCCAGGTAATGCCCTCTGAGCTCCATAGCTATTTTTCCAGAAGCACAAATGATAGCTCAGCAAAGTGGCTTATCACGTGGACATTTATAGCGGCCAAATACTCGAAACGCGTGATGTTGATTATAAACGTGGAGTTGGAAAACCGGCAGGCCCGGAGAAAAATCCACGGGTAGAGAGAGAGACACCGCAAACCCCAAATATACAACATGTATCACCAGGGTCAGGATCGAACCCACGACCTCCTGTATACCAGGCGAGGGAGTTGATATCTCCTAGCCACGGTAGCGCCTCCACCACTACCACCGCAGCAGCAGCAGCAACTTTGGCCCCAACCGTGGCAGCTTGGCAGGACCCTCACAAGCCTCAGTGCGGCTTTGGTGGGTGAACGAAGCGTGGCCTCGTTCTTTCTCGTCGTGTGGCACGCGGTGTGGATGCAGAGCATCGGCGACTAATTTCGCATTCGAGCCAAGAAAACTGCGTCAGGGTGTGCAGGGTGGTGCTGTGTGCATGAGTCGGCGTCCTCACCTGAATTGTTCCCATCGCCGGCTGTCACCACCTCTCCATCCGTCGCATCTGGAGCCGAGAGACAGAAACACAGCGACTTTTACCATAGAGACACACAGCACTTTTACCATAGAGACACACAGCACCTTTACCATAGACACAGCACGTTTACCATAGAGACACACAGCACGTTTACCATAGAGACACACAGCACGTTTACCATAGACACAGCACGTTTACCATAGAGACACACAGCACTTTTACCATAGAGACACACAGCACTTTTACCATAGAGACACACAGCACGTTTACCATAAAGACACACAGCACTTTTACCACGGTAGCTACAGACCTACATATTCATGTTGGCTATGTTAGTCGCTGTAGCTGTGCGTGTCGGCTATGGTATGAGCTGTTGCTGTGTATGTCGGCTATGGCAGGAGCTGTTGCTGTGTATGTCGGCTATGGCAGGAGCTGTTGCTGTGTATGTCGGCTATGGCAATATCTGTTGCTGTGCATGTCGGCTATGGCAATATCTGTTGTTGTGCATGTCGGCTATGGCAATATCTGTTGCTGTGCATGTCGGCTATGGCAATATCTGTTGCTGTGCATGTCGGCTATGGCAATATCTGTTGCTGTGTATGTCGGCTATGGCAATATCTGTTGCTGTGCATGTCGGCTATGGCAATATCTGTTGCTGTGCATGTCGGCTATGGCAATATCTGTTGCTGTGCATGTCGGCTATGGCAATATCTGTTGCTGTGCATGTCGGCTATGGCAATATCTGTTGTTGTGCATGTCGGCTATGGCAATATCTGTTGCTGTGCATGTCGGCTATGGCAATATCTGTTGCTGTGCATGTCGGCTATGGCAATATCTGTTGCTGTGCATGTCGGCTATGGCAATATCTGTTGCTGTGCATGTCGGCTATGGCAATATCTGTTGCTGTGCATGTCGGCTATGGCAATATCTGTTGCTGTGCATGTCGGCTATGGCAATATCTATTGCTGTGCATGTCGGCTATGGCAATATCTGTTGCTGTGTATGTCGGCTATGGCAATATCTGTTGCTGTGCATGTCGGCTATGGCAATATCTGTTGCTGTGTATGTCGGCTATGGCAATATCTGTTGCTGTGTGTCGGCTATGGCTATATCTGTTGCTGTGTATGTCGGCTATGGCAATATCTGTTGCTGTGCATGTCGGCTATGGCAATATCTGTTGCTGTGCATGTCGGCTATGGCAATATCTGTTGCTGTGCATGTCGGCTATGGCAATATCTGTTGCTGTGCATGTCGGCTATGGCAGAAGCTGTTGCTGTGTATGTCGGCTATGGCAGGAGCTGTGGCTGTGCATGTCGGCTATGGCAATATCTGTTGCTGTGTATGTCGGCTATGGCAATATCTGTAGCTGTGCATGTCGGCTATGGCAGAAGCTGTTGCTGTGTATGTCGGCTATGGCAGAAGCTGTGGCTGTGCATGTCGGCTATGGCAATATCTGTTGCTGTGCATGTCGGCTATGGCAATATCTGTTGCTGTGCATGTCGGCTATGGCAATATATGTTGCTGTGTATGTCGGCTATGGCAATATCTGTTGCTGTGCATGTCGGCTATGGCAATATCTGTTGCTGTTTATGTCGGCTATGGCAATATCTGTTGCTGTGCATGTCGGCTATGGCAATATCTGTTGCTGTGCATGTCGGCTATGGCAGAAGCTGTAGCTATGAACATTAGCGATGGCAGTGTCTATAGCTATGCACGCTGGTCACGGAAATTGCTGTAGCCACCAACATTGGCTATCGTGGTGTCTGTAGCCATCTATGGTGCAGGCTATGATGGCAGCTATGCATGTACACGTGTTGAACTTCTTTCGCACCGTACGTATTCAACCGCGCTAATCGGAGGTGCGGCGGGTGGGGAGGGGGACATCAAGGCTGGACACAACGGGAGACGTTCCACAAGTCGTGAGGACACACAACGAATTTGCAATCTACGCAGCGCAGTGGTTCATCGTCCCCGTGACCCCGGGGACTCGCCTTTCTCGTGCTCCTCACGACGGCTCTGGCTGCAGCCCTCTCCGTTCTCCTGCGCGCCGGCGACTCGGGTCGATTTGCTGCTCGCGCAGCCCATGACGACGACGACGAGGAGGAGGAGGACGACGCTGCTGCTGCTGCTTCTGTGCGGCTGCCCCCTCTGGGTCGCTGGCCCCTCTGGGTCGCTGCCCTCTCAACGCGAAAGTTGCCTCGAGAAGGGACCCCGACTCCACGGGTAGCAGCGCCTCCTGTGAGAAGGCGACGATGATGATGGTGATGCCCGTTCTGTCGGCTACACGAGGAGGCGTCCGACTTCCCGGAGGAGATCTCTGTCTGTCTGTCTCTCTCTCAGTCTCTCTCTCTGTCTCTCTCTCTGTGTCTCTCTCAGGCTGTCTCTGTCTCGCTGTGTCTCTGTCTCGCTGTGTCTCTGTCTCGCTGTGTCTCTGTCTCTCTCGCTGTGTGGCTCTCTCTGTCTCTCTCGCTGTGTCTCTCTTTGTCTCTGTCTCTCTCTCTCTGTGTCTCTCTATCTCTGTCTGTCACTCTATCTCTCTCTGTCTCTCTCTCTGTGTCTCTCTGTCTCTGTCTGTCACTCTATCTCTATCTGTCTCTCTCTCTGTGTCTCTCTGTCTCTGTCTGTCACTCTATCTCTCTCTGTCTCTCTCTCTGTGTCTCTCTGTCTCTGTCTGTCACTCTATCTCTATCTGTCTCTCTCTCTGTGTCTCTCTGTCTCTGTCTGTCTCTCTCTGTCTCTGTCTGTCTCTGTCTCACTCGCTGTGTCTCTCTCTCTCTGTGTATCTCTGTCTCTCTCGCTGTGTCTCTCTGTCTCTCTCTGTCTCTCTCGCTGTGTGTGTCTCTCGCTGTGTCTCTCTGTCTCTATCTGTCCACTCTGTCTCTCTCTGTCTCTGTGTCTCTCTCTGTCTCTCTCGCTGTGTCTATACCGCAACGAGATGCCGCTCTTCACTTAATTTACAGCGATTTGTTTTGCTGTTGATGGAATTTCCAGCAGATCGGAACGATGCCACGCACACGTCTGCAGCAGGATGCTGTGTTTTTTTCGTCTCAATAATTTGCAAATTTTACATCCAATTATCTCTCTAATTGTACATATAGCTCTCTCTCTCGAAATCCCTCTAATCAGCTCTCTACCCCCTCTGATGATCTACGCGAGAGAGAGAAGCTGTTTTCACGAAACGCGAACGAATTATTCGGAGCTGCGCCACTTGTCGATGGCTGATCGTCTCGGCTTCCTCTCCTCCGCTACCTCCTCTGAGCTGCTCGACAAACACACAACTCTTCTGGCTCTCTCCTTTTCTCTGCGCCCCCCACCCCCAACCTCTGCCCCCCCCCCCCTCCTCCCCCCCCCTGCCCCCCTCTCACCCCCCAGACCACCCCTGGCAACTTGTAAGTGGCGCCCTCGTCCGTGCCCAGTGTTGTGAGTTGTTACCGCGGCGATCGTGGAGAGAGGAGGCGGCGGGTGTGTGTGGGTGAGTATGTGTGAGTGTGTATGTGTGTGCGTGAGTGTGTATGTGTGAGTGTGTATGTGTGTGAGTGTGTATGTGTGTGGGTGTGTGGGTGTGAGTGTGTGGGGGTGTGTGTGGGCGTGTGTAAGTCTGGGTGTGTGTGGGTGTGTGGGTGTGTGTGTGTGTGTGGGTATGTGTGAGTGGGTGTGTGTGTGTGGGTGTGTGTGTGGGTGAGTATGTGTGTGGGGGTGTGTGGGTGTGGGTGTGAGTGTGTGTGGGGAGCGGTAGTGTAGCGGTTAGCGCGCTGCGCTATGAACCTGGCGACCCGGGTTCGATTCCCGCTCATGGCTAACACCAGTGACGATTATCTGAACCGGTCCTGGGCCTCCCCTAGGTCAACTCAGCCTTAAATGAGTACCTGGTGCGGTGTGTAAACATCGCCACGAGGGAGACAAAGGCGGTCGGGCGTGGTGCTGGCCACCCACCCCCTCGTGTACCGTTCCGGCCTTCATAGGTGCTCGCTAACAGCACTCGCCCCTACAGTCTGTTCAGGCTATACGGGGGATATTTGTCTTTTTTGTGGGTGTGTGTGGATATGTGTGTGTGAGTGTGTGTATGTGTGTGTGTGAGTGGGTGTGTGTGTGGGTGGGTGTGTGTGAGGGTGTGTGTGGGTGGGTGTGTATGTGTGGGTGTGTGTGTGGGTGTGTATATGAGTGTGTAGGTGTGTGTGGGTGTATGTGTGGGTGTGTGGGTGTGTGTGGGTGTGTGTGTGAGTGTGTGGGTATGTGTGGGTGTGTGGGTGAGTGTGTGGGTGTGTGGGTGTGTGTGTGGGTGAGTGTGTGGGTGTGTATAGGTTGGTGTGTGTGAGTGTGTGTGTATGTGTGGGTGTGTATGTGTGGGTGTGTATGGATGTGTACGTGTGGGTGTGTGTGGGTATGTGTGAGTGTGTGTGCGTGTGGGTGGGTGTGTGTGTGTGTACGTATGGGTGGGTGTCTGTGGGTGTGTGTGTATGTGTGGGTGTGTGTACGTGTGGGTGTGTACGTGTGTGGGTGTGTTTACGTGTGGGCGTGTGTGAGTGTGTACGCGTGTGTGAGTGTATATGTATAGGTGTGTGTAGGTGTGGGTGTGTGTGTGGAGGTGGAAGGAGGTTCAGGGTTAGGGATGTGTGCGACGGTGCGACGTGGAGATGGGGGAGAGTGCACGGAGAAGGATAAGGGAGCAAGGGAGAGGGGAGAGAGAGGGTGAGGGAGTGTGTCAGAGCGAGAAACGCCACGCTTTCACGCGTCATGTTTCACACAGCCTAGCGACGTCGAGTTTGCTGGCCCGGTTTGCTGTTGGTCCTGTGACCTGGAGCGGCTGATTGATTAATTGGACCCCTTGCAAGAACGCATGACATCGAGACACAGAAAGAGGAGCAGCCGCAGCAGTAGCACGCGACTCAGAGTTTTGGAGTGAGCGTGAGTTTTGGTGTACCTGTGTGTAGGTGTGTACATTCTCTCTAAACTATTAACTTTTATTTTACCAGGTAAGCGCCCACTGAGCTGCTTAGCTCTTTTTCAGAAGCGACCCTGGCCACAAGTGATA